AATTTTCCATCCTATCCTTAGTTAGAGGAGACACCTACCAACAAAAAATTCAGCAATATTATGTAACTCCAATAGTCTGAGTAAAATAGTTGTAGAGACGGACAGACAAATGAAAGGATTATAGAATGAACATTTTGAGAAATAAGTATTAAAGTATTGCTTAAAACCCAATTTATCACATTAAACCTATAAGAATTTACATTAGTTTTGTGAAATTATATGTAATAATAGCGACTCACCCTCGCTTCATTTATGTTCGCCTATGGAAAAACAAAAACAAGTCTAACCCACGGGAACTATACATTTTTCCGGGATTAAAAATTGCCTATGTGTTATTCTGATGTATGAACTATACTATTGTAAAGTTTCATTTAAATTCATTCAGTAGTTTTTGCGTAAAAGAGTAACAAACATCCATACATCTATACATCCAAACATCTATACATTCTCACAAACTTTTGCATTTATAATATTAGTGGGATTATTATTAAACTCACGTTTAGCTATGTCCAGAATATATTTTCTAATAGAAATCGGCGTCATAACGGGTAAAAAGTTGCCAACGAAATATTTTGTGCTGTAAACAAACGCATTAACGTCCTACAAACTGGCATGTTTCATGGTGCGGCATCTAAAGTAATAAAGAATAAAAATTTTAATGTTACTTTAACCTATATTTAAGAAATTTCTTTAACTTTTTAAACACTTTTGTTCTAACGTTGAGTTTGGACATAATAAATTTCAATAATTCATCCTTTTTAAATAAAATTATTCTTTCAAATATTTTTCGCGGATATTATAAATAAATAAATAAATAAATATGTTAGGACATTAACACACAGCACCATCTAGTTCCATGGTGATCTGCGAGGCTTGTGTTATGGATACTAGATAGTTGATACACTACGCGTAAATATAACTTTAATACATACATATTATAAATATAACGGATATTATAAATATAACGGACTTTACGCGTCTTTAGAAAACTAGTTAGAAAAACTTAAATCTTTTTCTTAACAGTAGTAGCAAATAAGATTCCAACCGTTAGCACATTTGGACATACGTACATAAAGAAAATTAGCCGACTTTAAAAAAAAGGCTCTCAATTGTGCTGTATATTTCGTAGTTAGGTAACTTGATACCAAAAACTACTTCATTCAATAAACTAAAGATAGCTATTTTAAATAAAATTTAAATAAGATGTTCGAATTTAAATAAAAAAACAATCAAAAGAAAAGATAATGATTTCTACTCTTAGATATTGAAATCGATTTAAAAGTAAATGAGATAATATTTAATTGTCATAATATCTGTCACCTTACATTCGATCTTTCATACGCAAAATTTTGTTTGGATTTATATTATTGGTATCCATACTAATATTATAAATGCGAAAGTAACTCTGTTTGTTTGTTTGTTACCTTTTCACGACTAATTCGCTGAACCGATTGAGATAAAAATTGGTATGGACATAGTTTGAGACCCTAGGATATATATGTAGATTGGTGGACGTAAGATAGTTTTTACATCGAAAATCATCCCTTAAGGAATGGTTATTTAGAAGTCTGTATGGGCAATTAATTGTTTCTCAAGGGATATAAAACTCATCATACCTATGTACATAGTCTATCTATGTATTCCATACTAACAGTGAAAACGTCCCTAGGGAGGAACCCGAGCGAAGCGAGGTTGATTCGTTAGTATTTAATATGAAAATATGCTATATATACGGTTGCAGTTAAATCTGTGCAAGATGAGTTTCCAGGTATTCAGGTAGGCGCATTTTATTCGTTCGTAACTCTTCTATAAATAGGTTAGTAAAAGTCAACCGGCCGCTGAATCTAAATGCGTCTTCACACTATAGTTTCATTCAACAAATGTATAGAATTTCTTATGTGTTTTACCGATGGATAGGTACAGGAATTTGGTATAGAAATAATAATAATATATCAGGAATAGGTATGAAAAAATGTATTGAAGATAACTTGAATTTTAAAATTGATGTATAATTTTTATTTGTCTGTCTGTTTATTTCGAATTTACTTGAGTTTACTAATATAGATAGGTACTAACTGCCACGTCGTTGCTCTAGCTCAGTCTGGATAGATTTAGTGAAGCTCAGAGAATTATAGCAAAATAGTAGCAAACAAGAAAATTTTCTTCGTACTCAAATACCTTATTGCTTGCAAATATGTTATATTAAAAAACGGACGGTATAAAAACCTCCATGTTTATAAAACACTGTGTTCCGAATTTTCAAAGGAAATATTTTTGTTTTTTTTTTGTTTTTTTTAGAAACGATTATGTATTTATATAAGAGAACTGGATATTGTACGTAACAACATTCAGAAGTTACCATCTATACATATAATAAAATTCTAACTAAGCCGAATCTGTACATTAAATATTTTTTGTAAAATCTAAGAGAAATAGACATTATTATCGATGCAGAGTCCGAATCTATAGTTTTTAGAATTTTTGTCTGTCTGTCTGTTACCGCATCACGAGAAAACCACTGGACAGATTTTGATGAAATTTGGTATGATGATAACTGGTTATTCGGGTCAACATATAGGATACTTTTTACCGTGGAAAAATATCTCATTTCTGAGAAAAAATACAAAAACGGATTTGTAAGAGTATACTAATATGTAAAACCTAAGAATTTGGTTTTTGGTCATCTGAACGCGGGCGGAGCCGTGGCCAATGCTATTATAATCTAAAGTTATTGACTTCAGTATAAATGATTTCAGTAAACAAGGTTTTTGTGGTTTTATGATTCGCTGTTATTTTCATATGTTTGTTTTCCTTATTAAAACCGTGTCAAAAACAATTGCCGACGTACATTACAATTTACGGTATTTTATATAATTTCCACTTTTTTACTTCGAAATATTTACATATTCTGAGTAAATTCTGTATATTCCACATACATTTCGTTACAAAGGTCAAATATTGATAGAGATTTTCATATTATGCAAGTTACGATTTACGATTACAATATTGTATTTCGTGTGTATGTTTAGCGATATGTACGTATATAAATTCTAAACGACTTAAATGATATTTAAGACTTTCTTTATATGAATAGGTTATATTTTAAGTGTATTCTTACATATGTAAATTTTAAAGAAATCTTACCATAAAGATGGAATGATTTAAAATGTAATTTTTTTGAAGTATATATAAAGTATATTTTAGTTTAATTTTATTACAATTCTAGCGACTCACCCTTGCTCCGCTCGTCTCTACTTATGTTTTAACGTTTAGTATAGATTTTTCAGAGATATTTTCCCGCAGTAAAAAGTATCATAACCAGCTATAATCATACTAAATTTCATCAAAATCCCTCAAGTAGATTTTCCGTAATGCGGCCACAGACAAACAGACAGAACTTCTAAAAACTATAGATTCGGTCTCTATATCAATAATAATGTCCATTTCAATAAGATTTTCCAAAAAATATTTAATGTACAGATTCGAGCCAGTCAGAATTTTATTATATGTATAGATCATTTTAAAGTGCGTATACGTTAAAATATTATATTATATTAATAAGTTTTATTTTTATTTAAAGTATTTAGATCGCGTGTCACAATTAAAAGAATCACTATCATAAAACACTTTGATAAAGCGATTATATAATACCTATCAAAGACCTATATTAAATTCAAAGCAGGTATTTGGGATTTTTTCATTTTATGACCTATGAAAAATAGGTATATTCTTGACTGACTGGTAATTAATTCTATACAAAATTAATCATTGGGTCAGCCAATTTAACTAAAATTTCGTTACTTATATCCAAAATTACAAGAAAAACAAAGCAGAGGATGCTTAAATATATTTACGTTTCGGTGTTACAAATCTAAATTATCTCAGAAAAATACTCGTAGTGTCGCTTTACAAGATTCAATTAGGGCGCGATATATATAGTTCTGTGTGGCCATTTGATACCGGCTACATTCAAATGCCTATTGGCTATAAATAGGCACGTTAACGTCTTGATTTATAACGGTTTTCACTAGATTTCATTATAGGGTATTTCGGATTTCCTTTATTGATTCAAAACAGCGGGAAAATGTCGGTAATATTGAATTAGTATGTATGTATTCAGCCCTTTTTTTAATGTCACACTGCTGGGCATGGGCCTCCCGTCAATACGAGGGGCAATCCCGTCAATACAATAAGGCCATAGTCCACCACGCTGGCCAAGTGCGGGTTGGCGGACTTCACATGTCTTTCGAAAACTTGTTAGATTCTCTCAGACATGCAGGTTTCCTCTCGATGTTTTCCTTCACCGTAAGGCGAATGGTAATCATGTTAGATGACTCGCATATGAAAACATCAGAGGTGCGAGACCCGGGATTTGAACCCGCTTCACTCGGTTTCTCAAGCGAGCGCGTTTCCACTGGGCTACCACTGCCTTTTAATTTTTAACTGCTTTTTTGAATTAGTATACATTTTCAAATTCTACAAGTTACTAGCGAAGAACCCTAGCTTCGCTCGGATGTTCCGACTGATAGTTTCTTTAGCCGTGGTCCGAACCTCGCAGGAGGTGCCCTTACGGAACTAATAACTAGGTAGGACCTTCTGTCTACCTCAAAAACTCGGTGACGCTGTCAAGGCCAGAAAGGCCAATAGCACAACTCATTTCGAAAAAAAAACGCTCGGGTGCGGCCTTAGATGTAAAACAGAAGCCTATGTTGTATTCCAAGTGATACTTTATGTGTGATTTCATCCAAATCCGTCCAGCCGTTTTAGCGTTAAGCACTTAACAAACATACACACATACAAACTTACTTTAAACTTGTTAACAAAACGAAAAGTAGCCTATGTGTTATTCCAGACTATAATCTATCTCTGTGCCAAATTTCATCCAGATCCGTTCAGCCGTTCTGGCGTGATTGAGTAACAAACATCCATACATAGTTACAAACTTTCACATTTATTATATTATTACATACAGATTCATGTAATACTACTTCCAGGACACAATGGCTACCACGATTGAGGCGTCGCAATCCCTCATCCAGTCGGAGTCCAGGGTCCACAGCTACCAAGAAGTGGTTACGGAGACACGACAAGTGAAGAAGAAGACCAAGTCCAGGAGGCATAAGGATGAAGGGTCTATATCTGTGGTATGTTACATAGTATTTTGTTATTAAGTTTTATTTATGGACACAAATGAATAACCAACAAATCTTTTGTTTTTGTGTGTCATAGATTCTCTCGACTCTTCAATCAGTGAAGTCAATGATGAGTAGCCGCACTTATTGCCTTGTTGGTTGTTTTTAAGTTTATTTTTTTAAAGGATCTTTTGAAGACACAAGTACTCGCTTTAAAGTAGAGCCTTAACTATTCGTTCAAAACTATAATTGAGATGTTATTTCTGTTTTTTGGTAATACGAGTATACCCAAAATTTTAAGATTTTTAGAAGCTTTGGAAGTCATCTAACTTATGCCTATTCTTTTATTCGAAAGTTTAGTGCGCTGTTTTTATTCGGATGTACCGAAACCGAAAATACTTGTTTATTATATAGTATGTCTACCCTTAAAAATACTTTTCCTACTAATTTTTTAAGGTGCAAATTGTATGGCTAATACATTTTTTTCTCCAGTGGAAGTAGAACACGCGCTGGGTTTTCACATTAATTATATATTAATAGAATTTACTAAAGTATAAAGTTATATAAAGGTATTTGGCCGGCAATTAATAATATTAACCGAACTTTAGTCTATGTACATATAATAAAATTGTAACTAAGCCGAATCTATGCATTAAATATTTTTTGGAAAATCTTATTGAAATAAACATTATTATTACCAGAGGCCGAATTTATAGTTCTTAGAATTTTTGTCTGTCTGTCTGTTACCGCATCACAGTAAAACTACTGGAGGGATTTTAATGAAATTTGGTATGATGGTAGCTGGTTATCCGGGTCAACGTATTTCACTGCGGGAAAATATTTAATTTCTGAGAAAAATTGCAAAAAAAGCAATGTAAGAGTATACTAATATGTAAAACCCAAGAATTTGGTTTTTGGTCATCTGAACGCGGGGATTGCTAGTATTAAATAAAAACAGCTGTGTACACCACACAGGTAAAGCGTGGTAGCTTCCGTTTTTAACTTGAATTGGCTATTCCAAAGCGTTGGTAGAAATCTAATTGAATAAAGGCATTAAAATTCTTTTTTTTTTTCAATTTGAAGGTTGGCTACCAGTTTGAGGATAATTTTAGTTGTCAAACCCTCTTATTAATTATGGTTTATAATAAAGGCATTAGATTTGAAATTGGCAAAAAAATCATACAAATTGACGCCCGAATTAAGTTCCTTCACATTTTTTGAAGTTGATCAAAAATTGATTTTGCTCGCCATATTTTAAACAGTAATAAACACAGTGTTAGCAAGTAACCATCTTGTAAAAGATTCGCATATCAAAATCTCGAGAGATTTAGAGGTCTCGAAACGCTAATTCAACATGCTTGACTTGGCGTTCCAAGGCAGTAAAGGATGAAGCCGTAAGACTTCCCAATAAATATTAACTTGGTTTAGTTTGCCAAACTTCTTTGCCCAATCCGCCAAGCTTTTTGGTTTAATACCGCTCATGTAGAATCGATAAAATACCCATATTTATTATATATTTATATATATTTAGCAATTATTTACGGAAATTATACAAAAAACACAATTTTTAAATTGTCTGTCTGTCTGATTGCTTGTTTCGGCTAATCTCCGAAACGGCTGGACTGATTTTGACGGGACTTTCACTGGCAGATAGCTAATGTTATAAGGGATAACTTAGGCTAGTATATTTTTTTTAAAGAATTAGGGTTCCGCTCAAAAAATTTAAAACGTACCTAGGGATGTAAGTAAGTCGTTTAAAATATGTAGAATAATATATATCGACTTTGCTTAGTTAAGCAAATCGACGTAAATAAAACTAACCTTTGGTAACTGATTAGAATTCTTATATCTTGTGTTTGTAATACAATACTTAGTATTTATTTTGATAGTTTTAGTTGTCAAGTGTTTCATTTTACTATTCACGCTTCAATCTATCTATAGAAGTTGACTTTCTGATATCGATATCGCTTACTAAAAAATATAAATTACTAGAAGAACCCCCGGCTTCGCTTGCGCTATAACTACAACTAAACCTCTGGAAAGGTAGGTTTCATATAAACTTTCATCCCCCCATTTCACCCTCTTATAGAATGAATTATGATAAAAGCTAAAAAATGTATTTATTTAATTTTATTGAAGAGTATTAATACCAAGTTTCAAGTAATTCTGATCATAAATAGTTTTTGGGTTTGTATTATAACGTGTCTTCCCGTGAGAATGAGATAATCTCCCGTGGTAAAAAGTAGCCTATGCCACTCTTCAGCCCTCCAACTATCTCCACACAAAAAATCAAGCCAATCCGTCACTCCGTTTCGACGTGAAAGAAAGACAGACAAACAAACACACACACACTTTTCACATTTATAATATTAATATGGATGTAACTGACCACGTGACGTAACGCTTAGTTATATATGTCATTTAGTTTTCTATAATCGATAGCTATTAACATAAGATAGAATTATATATATCTTGTCTTATCTTTTATATAATATATATATATATATATATATATATATATATATATATATATATATATATATATATTATTTTGATTATCTACATGATGTTAAAGGAATAGCTACGATATGAATATAAAAAGATTAGAAAAATATCAAGGAACCAACTTTGATTTCTACAAATGAAATGATATACTTAATTCAGTTTTTTCTTTGTCCTGTAATCTATGCAGAAGTACACTTAGCAGGTTAACGAATTAGGCCGACGTAGTGAGGATTGTCTATAATAAAACTGTAGAGGTCCAATGTCTGTACATAGAAAAAAATACTAAAAACCGAGTTAGGGGGATGTAAGAAGAGAAATAGAACGAATCCAGATTTTTTTCAAATTTTTTGTTTATCTGTTTGTCTGTTTGTACGGGCTAATCTCCGAAACTTTTGGTTATACCTTATATCTCCGGTCAATATATTAGATACTTTTTATCCCGTAAAATTAAAGAGTTCCCGTGGGATAGTTAAAAAACTATAGTAACTTGTACAGCTTAGCACACAAAAACTACTGATTGGATTTTAATAAATTTTCACAATAATATAGTTCATACATCAGAATAACAAATAGGCTACTTTTTATCCCGGAAAAATGTACAGTTACCGGGGGATAGATTTGCTTTTGTTTATCTAGAGGCGTACCCGAGCCAAGCGAGGGTGAGCCGCTAGTCCAAGGATAAAATAGAGACCCCTTACACTTGTCCAACAGGCTGTAACTTCTTATAGTCGTGTACGTACTTGAGTACTGTTTTTCAATAAATCTGTACTAATCATATAAAGCTGAAAAGTTTGTTTGAGCATGCTCTGAAACTACCAGTTATATTTGACGTTTCTAAATTTTATAAATTTTTCCGCGATAAAAAGTTGTCTATGTGCTATACCAGACTATAATCTATCTCTGTGCCAAATTTCATCCAGATCAGTTCAGCCGTTCTGGCGTGATTGATGTGAGTAACTAATTTATTTACTGCTTTGATTGCATCCAAACATCCATCTAAACTTTCACATTTATAATATTAGTAACGTAAGATTTATTAAGGAAAGTTATCTAAAGTCAGATGAATAAACTATGCGAGCAAAGCCGCGGGCAAAATTTAGTATGGCATTATCTAATATAAACAGTATATATAATATGATTCTTAGTTTATACACTACCAATGCAACAAACTGACCGACTGACATAAACTGTGAAAGTTCACAATTAGTAAGGAGGTCTCTCTGTTTTATCTTTCTTTTAGTAAATCATTTTTTGGTAATCAATTAATTATCTTCTAATGATTAGAGCATAATATTTAATCTACATTTTTCGGTTATTTATTTTTATTGCGATTACGATGTATGCATCAATAAAATTTATTTGATGTAATATTTTTATTATAAACAGTTTACAGCTTAATATTTAAAACACTTATATAGTTGACGATGATTGGTAGTTCCTGAGATTAGCGCGTTCAAACATAAAAACAAACAAACTCTTGTAATTTATTATATTAGTATAGTTGTATTAAGTAGGTGTATAAAATTACTAACGAGTCAAGTTCGCCCCAAGGTACGTTTTAACTGTTAGTATGGAATAGATCGACAATATTATACTATATGATATGTATATAGCCTTCCACAATAAACGGGTTATCTAATGCAAAAAGAATTTTTCAAATCGGATTAGTAGTTCCTGAGATTTGCTCGTTTAAACAAACAAACTTTGCTTCTTTATAATATTAGTATAGATGAAGTTTATACTATTCCCACTTTTTCTGTCCATTCATCACACTTAACCTTATGAACTATAAATTCTATAGGAAAAAAATCTAATAAAAATTCCCAAATAGCAGTTATATGAAATTAGAAAACCAAATAAGATGAAAGTAAAAGCCTATATATACGTGTCTATATCGGCGGTGTATTTCGCAAGGCTTCGACGTGACGAGGTGGCCGAGAGGTTAAGGCGTTGGACTGCTAATCCAATGTGCTCTGCACGCGTGGGTTCGAATCCCATCCTCGTCGGAAGCTTTTTCCTTTTCTATTTTTTTTTTTGCTAATTAATGTTTATTTTATCTGTTTTAAAAATATACTTTCTTCACTATTATTTCTTTTTTGAGCTCTACATTATTCACCTATACATATGATAAAATTGTAACTAAGCCGAATCTGTACATTAAATATTTTTTTGAAAAATCTTATTGAAATAGACATAATTAACGATACAGAGGCCGCATCTAGTTTTTTAAATTTTTGTCTGTCTGTCTGTCTGTGACCGCATCGTGGAAAAACCCATGGAAGGATTTTGATGAAATTTGGTATGATGATAGCTGGTTATCCGGGTCATCATATAGGATACTTTTTACTGCGGGAAAATATCTCATCTCTGAGAAATCTATACTAAACGTTAAAACATAAGTAGGGACGAACCCGAGCAAAACGAGGGTGAGTCGGTAGTCAAATGTATCGGAACATTGATATAATGACATTATTTACACTTTAACTAACATGGTGCGTCATCTTTGATTTGATTATGACGTCAAAGAAGATAGTTGAAGAAAAACTTAATTAGGTTCAATGAAGAAGAGAGTATAATAATCCTTTATATATTACGCTATATTCCTAATAAGTAAATTAAGTTCTTCTTAGAATTTGCCTCAGTCATTGACAGATTTTCTTTCCCAACTGTTGGTAGTCTTTACTTTCCATAAGTGTTGATTTATACAAACTCAAAGCAATTTATATTGACAGAACTCAAATTTTTGGATAAGCAAATCAAAGCAGTAAATTAATTAGTTATTTGTAGTGACAGTTGTTATGTGAATAAGTTATATCTTAGTTCGAGTTTGTTTGAATGTTAATAATTATGTATAAATTTTTATATGATCTTTTGTGTCATAAGGTATGTATATTAGTTTTGGTGGTGAAATGGTGTATTCCTGACTTTTAGACTTAAGTATTATAAAAACGGAGTCTGCCAAAGTAAATGTCGAAGTCAAAAATGGTAGCTTAATTTGCTGTTTATGCTACCATACTTTGATTTTGTCGTACGTAATACAGATCGCTTACTTTCTTTAAAAAATAAGGGAAGTTTTACATGGTTGTTAGTTAAATTAATATACAATTTTTGAGAATAAAATATGTGTAATAAAAATAATACTATATTCTTTTGTATTTTTATTTTTTAAGCATTAGTTCTTTTACCATCAAAAGAGATATAGCATAATATTAACTAATTTAATATTTCTTCTTTATTATCTATACTAATATAATAAAGAGGTAAAGTTTGTGAGTTTGTGACGTTGTAGGGGGTAATCTCTGGATCTACTGAACCGATTTAGACGAAATTTGGTAAGAAGTTAGTTGAGACCCTGGAAAGGACATAAGATTTTTTTCCCAGAAATCATTCTTTAAGGGGGAGAAAATGGGGATGAAAGTTTGTATGGGGAATCAAGCTAGGGACGAACCCGAGCGAAGCGAGGGTGAGTCGCTAGTACATAATAATTTTCGTTAGCTATTTTTTTATTGATCACTTAAGTAGTTAAACTTTATTGTTTGGCTTCATGTGTAGTTCTGGCACTGTATCTATATTATTCCTTAGTCTGAGGCATGACTAGGTACTTATTTGTTCGTTCGTCGTTGTCATAGTTCGCGGATTCGAGTCCCAAGATAGAATAAGGTAACCTGAAATTAGGAATGTCAATGTGAAGTGTCATTTTTAACAGATAAATAAAATTGAAGTGTCTGTTTGTAACGTAAAAAAACAGCTTTTCACTAAGTGCATATGAAATTATATACGGTACTAATAAGAAAAAAGAGTTCTTGAGTTATAAATGGTGTAACTAACCCGACTTTATAATAGATAAAACCCAAACAAAGACGAAGGATTATATAAGTATGACTCTTCCCGCGCTCCTTACGCGCAGTTTATTTATATATCTATGACTCTCTATCTGAAAAGTCGTACCGTGATATTAGATAGCCTCCTTAAAAATAGGGCTATCATATGAAAAAAAAATTTTTTAAATCCGACTTATAGTTTCAGAGATTATCGTGTTCAAACAAAAACGCTTCTTTCTTCAGCTTTATTATATTATCATAGACTAGCGCCTCACCCACATTTCGCCCGCGTTCGTCTCTAGGTACGTTTTAACGGTTAGTATGGACTATATATATATATATATATATATATATATATATATATATATATATATATATATATATATATATATAAATATATATATATATATATATTTATATATATATTATATATATATATATATATAGCCTATAGCCTTCCTCAATAAACTGGCTAATTCTAATGCAAAAAAAATTTTCAAATCGGATTTGTAGTTCCTGATATTCGTGCGTTAAAGCAAACAAACTCTGCCTCTTTATAATAATAGTAAATAGCATAGATAATACTATTGTTAAATATACGAATTAATTATTATTATTATAACACAAATTTATATTTTCAACAGTCCAAAAGTTCAGAAAAGTTGTGCAAGAAAATGAAAGCGGACAATGAAAACCCCACATGCGCCAAATGTTCCCGTCCAGTGTACGCAATGGAACGCATCAAAGCGGAAAAACGAGCTTGGCACAAGGAGTGCTTTAGATGTGTACAGTGCAATAAACAACTCACGTGAGTATTGCTTTTTATGTCATTTCACTACAGTATTTTCATGTATGTATGTAGGTATGAAATGCCTCGATGTTCTAGCATTGTAGAGTATTCTATTGACCGGTGGTAGGACTCTGTCAAGCCTGAGGAGTCCGACTGGACGGATACCACCCCCTTATCTATTTCTCCCGCCAAGCAACAATGATTACATTGTTGTGTTTCGGTTTGAAGGATAAGGTAGCCAGCGCAATTACAGGCAAGAGGCATATCATCTTAGTCCTCACAGTGACAATGCAAGCGGTTCTGCATTTTTGTAACATAAAACCTAAGTGCATGAACCCTAGGTGTTATGGGCGAAAAGTAGGCACCGCTTTCCATCAGGTGGGCTGTCTGCGAAGTGAGAAGTAGAGCGAAGTGAAGTGGTCCCATGAAATTTTCTTTAACATAGAGTTTTTTTTATTAGAAGTACCGTATATACTTTCATATGTATTTAGTAAAAAGCTGTTATTTTGACATTAAAAACAGACTCTTCAATTTTATCTATCTGTACAGTGATTTGATTTTATTATGTAGTGAATAATTTTTGTTCCAGAGTTGAGACATATCAAAGCGACCACACAGCATTGTATTGCAAGCCGCATTTCAAACAGCTGTTTGAACCTAAACCTGTCGATGGGGTTGACGAGCTTGATGGTCAGTTCCTTATATTAACATAGCCAGTTTCAAGTTCGATTCTCGATGAAGATATTTAATTTATTCAAAGGCTTTCACGCTCGAACTATTGTAAGCTGTATTTTGCTGATTTTTTAACTGTCCTTATTCGTTTTAAAATTTAATAGTTGGGTAAAATTATATCTGAAGTGTTGAAGTAGACATTAGATCATTTTTATACTATAAATTGTCTATTCATTAATGGCAGGCACGTTGGCCATTAATATTGACAAGATCTTATATAAATTCGGTAAAGTTTCATTTTTACTCTAAAGAAACACAAGAGTTTATTTGTTTGTCTATACAAATAACCTGTGAAACTATATAATCGAAAAAATATATAAATATCAAATATATAATATCGAGGGAAGATATAAAATATTTATATAATCATATAAAGTATTTATGAATTCTAGGATTATATAAACAAAATGCTTGAGAAAGACACAAATAAATTAAACTTTTAAATAAATTAGATGAAGATTTTTATAATTTGAAATTGTTACAGCTACCCCCAAAAAACATCAGATGATTATTTGCGAGAGTCAGCCGGTCGAATTACCCCCGGATGTTGTAAGAGGTAAATAAATATGTTAAAAATATATTTTACTTACATACGTTCAAGTCTGTGTTTTTTTTTTTATTTTTTGTAACATTCGTTTTATACCATATCGTCCTAGACCATACCTAGGTCTAGAAGCGCTGGCGTCTTTAGAAGTGAAGTCGCGGCTCAAAGTGTTCAATCGCAAAACTAAGGGGCAAGACGAACCCTTCCTTTTTTTTATAAATGCCGGCTAACTCGCATATCTTAAGTCCATTTTTTTTTATTTTGGTTATACATATATACATTATACTAGCGACTCACCCTCGCTTCGCTCGGGTTCGTCCCTAGCTTGCTTCCTAATACAAACTTTCATCCCCATTTTCACCCCCTTGAGTAATGATTTCCGGGATAAAAAGTATCCTGTGTCCTTCCCAGGATCTCAAACTATCCTCTTACAAAATTTCATTTAAATCGGTTCAGTAGATCCAGAGATTACTCCCTACAACGTCACAAACTCACAAACTTTACCTCTTTATAATATTAGTATAGATAAGATATCTTCCATACAGCGTCCGATAAACCAGACCTAGGTCTAGAAGAACTGGCGTCTCTAGACGTTAAGTCGCGTTTCGAAGTGTTCGAGCGCAAAGCGAAGCAGGAAGAGCCGGTGGCGCGGGAGCCGCGCGCGCCGCGGGAGAGGAGTACCGCTCTGTTGTCCAAGTTGGCTAAGTAAGTTTGTTTTTTTTTAATGTATTCAGCCCTTTTTTACGTCTCACTGCTGGGCACGGACCTCCCTTCAGTACGAGAGGGATCCGCCCATAGTTCACCACGCTGGCCAACTGCGGGTTGGCGGACTTCACATGTCTTTCGAAAACTTGCTAGGTTCTCTCAGACATGCAGGTTTCCTCACGATATTTTCGTTCACCGTAAGACAAGTGGTGATCATGTTGGCAATGATTCGCACATGGAAATATTAGAGGTGCGAGAGCCGGTATTTGAACCTGCTTGACTCAGTTTCCCAGCGAGCATATTACCACTGTACTACCACTGCTATCCATTTAACTCCTCTAGGTAAATTTTTAAGAAATTAATTAAATTTCTAAGAAATTCATTGTTAACTGTAACACCGGCGTGCCCGTGGTCGTTGAGGGATTAATATATTTCTACCTATTAAATACACAATATACATATGTACATACATACATACATAGACACATATTTTCACTCTATATCCGTTATCGAGTAGTTAGGCATAACCGTGTACCTATTAGCGCTTGTATAGCAGAGGTTGTTTTCTCGTATTTCTATTCATACACGGCAAAAGTTTTCAGACCCCTGTACCTTCTTTATCTCAAATAAAGGGTCGTGACATGATTGGTTTAGTACATAGTTATTATTATATATTATACCTATGTTAGTTATTATTATATATATTTATACCTATATTTTTAACTTTTTTCAATTTATATATAAAAAATTATATATATTATTCAACATCTATTATTATTATCGAATAGCGACACACCCTCGCTCCGCTTGTATTTGTCCCTACTTACGTTTTATCAATTAGCATAGATTTCTCAGAGATAAGATATTTTCCCACAGTAAAAAGTATCCTATACGTTGACCTGGATAACCAGCTATCATCAAAATCCCTCTAGGAGTATTTCCGTCATACGGTCACACACAGACAGACAGAAAAAAATTCTAAAAACTATAGATTCGGCCTCTGTATCGATAATAATAACTCCTTCAATAAGATTGTCCAAAGAATATTTAATGTACAGATTCGACTTAGTTACAATTTTGTTATATGTATAGATTGATAATTTTAATACAATTTATATAGATCCATAGTCATATGTACAAAAGTATATTTTGGATTCAGTAGTCTAATCATAGTATACACAGATTCATGACACACAACGAATTGAACCTCACTGTCACTGTTAAGCCTCAATGTAGAGTTTCTTTGTAAAATACAAATATCTGAATAATTTTGATACACTGGTACACCAGAATCTTAAAACTACTGATTTTGTCAAAAAATAAATAGATATATAACTTATAGGATATTTAAAACTTAATTGCAAAAGATATAGCTTTCGTATTTTATTTCATAGAAAATTATAATTTATAATAAACCAAAATAATAACCTTATATTTGTATCTTATAAAGGTTTATGGATTCTTTTAAATACTTTGTAATTTCCTAAAAGAATTTTTTAATAAACTTTTCATTAAATAATTCAGGGTTGGCAATCTATACTAATATTATAAAGAGGAAAGATTTGTTTGTTTGTATTAAATAAGCTCTGAAACTACTGACCCGATTTAGATGAAATTTAGTAAGAAAATAGTTTGAGACCCTGAGAAGGGCTAAGTATAGATTTTATCCCGGAAATCATACCTTAAGGGGGTAAATAGGGATTGAAAGTTCGTATGGGGAAGCAACCTAGTATATATACATACGTGTATTAAATAAAATATATATATATATTTAAATTAAAATTGTACATGCTGTTTTTTTTTTCATTTAAAATGAAAAAAAAAACTTTAAAAATTATATCTAAAAATTAAAAGCCTTCATAAAATATCACCAATAAAGTGAGGTTGATTCATCCTTTGGCTTTCACCCAATGAATGAAATGTCAAAAAATATAAAATAGTACATTTTCAAGTATCAAATCATTACAATCCACGTAGAATTGTGTCTAATATTTTACGTCATCGGACTATTTTTACATCCTCAATACATGTGGGCTAAGAGAGCATGTGGCTTTTATCACAGCATCAAAGTAACGTATACATTACCTCGTTTTAGTTTTTGAAGTATTGGGCAAAGATTTCTAATAAATTAAGTAATAAATTACTATAAAAATACTATAATATAGACAAAACTGTTCAGTATCTATCTTTAACTTCGCTGTTTGTTAAGCTACTTTCTTTTTTAGCTTTTGACGAGGTGTTATCAATAAAAAAATTAGAAACAGTTTTTTTTATGTAGGTAGTCTTCAATAATGAATATGATCGAATGTCGATTATAAAAAATATATAGATTGTATGAAAAAAAACGCGCAATGTATCGGTCACAACTAAATAACGTCGAATTCAGATGAGCATTTCCTTTTGTGATATCATCCTAAATGACCAACCTTGTAATATTTTTATTACAAATTTGAACCCTAACCTAAAGTAATAACGGTTACGTTATTTTAGTTCATTGTAAATTTAAAGCGGTCGGCTTAAAAAAGAAAGTATATCAGTCTTCCATCAACTCAGTAAGCGTTTCAGCGTGGAGCAGTTGTGATACTTTGTTCTGTGAAAGTGAAGTTCTTTATTTAAAATGTATGGGTGAGTGTCAAATATTCAATGATCAGAAAAAAATGTAAATTGGTGAAGCGTGAGTCGCTTTTACTAGATCTCAAAAAATTGTATAGGTACTTTTGTTACAATTATTTTTCTATATGCCTAATTATTATTTTTTTTAAATATATAATTACTCGTATATGTATAAATGAATAACTAAATGAAATGATAAGTAAGTATATATCCCTTGGAAACTCCGATCTGAACCCCATATCACTCTTTGGCCTGTACATTGCCTATCTGTAATAAATTACATTAATCTGTTCTAATTTGAAACAAACCCTTTAACAATTGTAATCTGGTATTTATAAGTAACCTAGCGACTCACCCTCGCTCCGTTCGGGTTCGTCCCTACTTACGTTTTAATGTTTAGTATAGGTTTTTCAGAGATGAGATATTTTCCCGCAATAAAAAGTATCTTATATGTTGACCCGGATTACCAGCTATCATTATACAAAATTTCATCAAAATCCCTCCAATGGTTTTTCCATGATGCGGTCACAAACAGACAAAAATCTAAAAAGTATAGATTCGGCCTCTGTATCAATAACAATGTCTATTTCAATATGATTTTAAAAAAAATATTTGATGTACAGGTTCGGCTTAGTTACAATTTTATTATATGTATAGATAAGTCATCCTTTGTACACATGGTATTTGTTTTCACTTTTATGTTTTTTTTTTTCTGGTACATAAATAAATATATGTACCACGAAATTTCTTATGAAATATATAAGTATAAACACCAGATATCACCAATAGTGTTTAATGAAAGATTCCCGAAAGAAAGAAATCATGTTTAAGCTTTAAACAATAAAAATAAAACATTAAAAACATATGAAATAAGATGAACAACGTGTCTTGGCATGTGTTTAAATGACGCTCGAGCAGTATTGAATACCATTAGTCGTGGGTTCGATTCTGTAATATTCTGACGAATATTGAACGCTAGCTTTTACACGCGACTCCGTTCGCGTTTTACGTTATAATCAATTTGCCCGTTCTAGAGATTGCTTGTTACAAATGGTATAATTCAGCCTTTTTTTATGTCCTACGCTAGTAAAGTACGGCTTGGCAGACTTCACACGTCCTTTGAAAAGTCTGTGAGAATGTGATTAATATTTTTAGACATGCTATCTGCATCTATCCGTATTCCATGTCATTATGTTCCAGTTTTTTATTGTCTCTCTTTTTTGTTATATCTTTTTCAAATCTCTGTCAAAAAGTATCAGAACACTCAGAGTACTCAGTGTTGTTATTTGATATAGTAAATCAAATGAAATCCATAGTAAATGGTTTATATTTGTAAACAAAAAGTTGACAAAATGTGTTTTAAATACAACTATCTTACTTATATTTGGGTACATGATACTTGTACGCTTGACTATCGTACCCGGAATCGATCAAGGTACGGTTAAAAAAAGACTCGAAAGAAAGAGATAATTTTTTCCTTAACAACATGAGAATAGAAAAAATACAGTATTATGTAATTATTTATTGTAATTAACTGATGACACGTTTGGCTCAGTGTGAAGTGACCTTACTTACTGTGCCAGCGGTCGCGAGTTCGAATCCTGCTAGGGACATTTATTTGTATGATGAGCACGAATGTTTGTACTCCAATCATGGGTATTTATATTTATAATATGTATGTATTTAAAGTTATATATGTGTAGTGTATCTACTATCTGGTATCCATAACACAGGCCAGCTTACCATGGAACTACAGATGTAGATGGTGTTGTGTATTAATGTCTCAACATATTTATTTATTTATAATTGTTATTAGGTTCAAGGCGAAGGGCATGGACATTGGCGTATCTGATGAGTACTTGAATGGAGTTCCCGTAGAACACAGCTCGAGCGAGCAGGAGGATGAAGAAGGTAAGAGAAGCAGGGACGAAAATTAAGATGATCATGTTTTGATCATTTCAAATAAAATCCATAAAAAATATAGTAGTTTCAAATGAAACTATATTTTCGCGGATTTATTTTAATTTTTGATCACCATGCTTTTGATTTTTTTCCTCATTTTACCCGTTTCTCTATAGATGAAGACTCCGTCCTAAAGAAATCGTACGCACATAACACTGTTCGAGAACAAACTGCACTCTGCGACATGAACGAGCTGGTCGGTCGCTTCGAGAACGGTAACGATAATATGGAGCGACACAACCAGAGGAAGCAGGAGATACAGAATATACGTAATCGATTGTTTTTGGTAAGTATTGTATATGATATGTGGACTTAAAATTAGACTAGTGTTGCCGGCGGCTTTGTCCGTTTTTTTGGTTTATGTGTGTATGTATATGTAAATATGTATGTATGTAAGTATCTATGTAAACATGTATGTATGTATCTTTGTACGTATGTATGTATGTTTGTATATATGTATATTTATATTATAATTGATGTTTGTAGTTTGTACCTACACCGCACCGCATTATTATTTTATATTTTCTCACGCTTGAGGGTTTCTGGTAGAAATCTCTTAAAGAGATAAGTCATCCTTTGTACACATGGCATCTGTTTTAACTTGTATGTTTTTTTTTCTGGTACATTAATAAATAAATATATCTGTAGGTGTATGGATAGCAGAATTGGCACAAGACTTCCGTCAAAACTTACGGATTACCTTTAGATACTCCTTGATTTGGTCTTGCCGCAAAATTATTTCTTAACTGACATGTCCTATATATACTATGTACCTGTCAAATTTCATTTTCATAGATAAAGCTTTTAATTTCGGTTTTGCGGAGTTAAATGGCGTCAAAAAATATATTGATCTTGTATATTATACTAATTTGTTTCCAGCGGTAATCAAACCCCCGAACTGACTAAGACATCCGTATTATTATGAATATTATAAATGGGAAAGTTTGTGAGCATGTATGGATGTTTGTTAATCTTTCACGCCAAAACGGCTGAACGGATCTGGATGATATTTGGCACAGAGATAGATTATAGTCTGGAATAACACATGGGCATTTTTATTCCGGAAAAATGTACGGTTCCCGAGGGATAGATTTGTTTTTGTTTTCAGTTCGTAAATAATAGTCATGTTTAAATGGTCTAATTGCTTTTTTATATATTATTATCTATTGGCTAAGTTATTTTTTTTATTTCAGGGAAAGCAAGCGAAGATCAAAGAAATGTACGAGCAGTCAGTGATGCAGTGCGAGCAAAGTGAGTGGGATATTTATTTGAGATCTTACAGTCCATACAGAAATCTTTTAGAGAAAAAAAGTTTCTACTTTCTTAGATTTACGCGAATACTTGACATTTTAAATAAAACTATCTTTTCGGATTTTTTCGCGAATTTATTTGCATTTTTGTTTCCCGACGTTTCGAATGCTTTACAGCAATCATGGTCACGGGAGAGACTGGGGTGTTACATGTCTCTAAGGTATTATATATTTGTTACAGACAGCCTACCCACAAAACAACAAAACGAATTCAAAAAATTCAAAAATGGCACCAAAGTACCTTACAATATTTTTAGCTTAAAATTTGTTTTTAAATAATAACAAATTAAAATTATTATTTTTAATTAAATTTTATCTTTTTCAAATTATGTACACATAGATCAATTATGTGGCGTAAATAATATATTATGATTTTTCTTTATGCTTATAAATATAATAATGGCAACACTAAAATATAGATTACTAATTAATATATTTTTAGAATTGTAATAATTATAATAATAACAGCCTAAATGAAATAAATAATATTCCATATTCAATTATAAAATTATATAAAAATGTTTAAAGTTAAAAGTAAAAAATATTATTGTAAGGTACTTTGGTGCCATTTGTCAATTTTTTGAATTCATTTTGTTAATTGTGGGTAGGCTGTCTGTAACAACTATATAATACCTTAGAGACATCTAACACCTCAGTCTCTCCCGTGACCATGATTGCTGTAAAGCATTCGAAACGTCGGGAACCAAAAATCAAAATAAATTCGCGAAAAAATCCGAAAAGATAGTTTTATTTAAAAAAAAGTTTTTCCGCAGTATAGTTTTTTTGTGACAGATCTTCAAATTACGAATATTTATAACGGATTATCTAATGCAAAAATAATTTTTCAAACAAACAAACTCTGCCTCAAACTGATGAGAGAAACCTCGTATAAAAACTAGTGGACTTTAAAGTATACAAATATGTACCTTACTTTTATTTTCAGGTGTTACTTCAGCGGATAAAATAGCTAAAGAATTAGATTTAGATGCGGAAAAAGCTCGAGCAATAAAGCAGCGCTTTGAGAACGGGGAGATTTTCAACGATGAGAACCAACCGCCCAAGAACAGGGAACTCGATGATCCATCGCTTTTCAATGAGGGTGAGTTCTACTTATAGTGGTTGTTTTGATTATAGTACTTTTTGATCATATTTGGGAAAAATTATGGGATTTTCAGAGGATCTTGCTGATGCTGATGAATCAGTACTGAAGTACCATTAGAGATGTTTACGTATTGGATCAGTAATGTTGACTGTTATATTTTTATTTTAATGACTTGAGACTGTAAGACTTGAGTCCCATGGGATTTCCCATGAATTAATGAATGAATTCTATAAGACATTTTGATTCCCTATTTAACTTCTTTAGATTCTCGATGGTCTAATTGCTATAGCTATACAGATCGTAAAGTCCTGTTTGAGTCCTTTGCAAAATTACTTGCTGGGGTTTTCCGTTATAAAATACTTAGTAGTACCTTGAAGTTGACAAGTCGACGGTGAATTTGTACATGTTATAATTACAGAAGAGAAAGAAAGAGAGGGAGAGTGATAGTGACAGAGAAAATGGAGTGCACTTGTGTTTTCGTTCTCCCTCGTACGCACTATACTATAAAACGTGCAGTTGGTTGGTAGTGCGATTGGCTATTGTCACAGATATCGGTTTGTATCAGCCATTTTTAGCGTCCCAGTGCTGGGCATGGGCATCCCTTCAATCGGGATCAGACCCCTGATATCGGTTATTAGAACATTATTATTATCTATCTAATAGAAAAAAAATTCAAAAATCTTCTGTAATTTTCAAAAAACTTAGGTAGTGTACATATCTGAAAAATATCTCAGTGAGTCAGTTTTTGAGTTATTTTTTAATAAGCAGATGCACTAATTTGCATCCTTTTTTCAGGTATTGCCAAAAAGTCTAGGTCCATTTTCTTGGAATTAGACGCGAATGCGAAGCATATGGCGCCACTCTCGCCGCCGGTACAAGAACCACCCAAAAGAAAGGAGATTGTAAGTATATTTACTATCTCGTTTTTACTAGCTTTATTTAAAAATGTACTCGTAATTAGATTTTAGAAATCGATTTTAGTCTTCTTTTTATGATATCGATTTTGAACTTTGTAAGTGAAATTTGGGTGGTACGAGTATTATGATAATTTGATACCATCGAGTTGATCTGATATAGGGTTTTCAGTGAGTTTGTTATGTTTATTATATTATGTTTTGTACATGGTTATGTATAAATATAAACATCGATGTGTGTAATGTGTATGTATGTTACCTATGGATCTTTTCGAGTTTTTTTTAGATTTATTTTGGCATTTGGTTCCCGACGTCGAATGTTGTAATAACTATGTATATAATGCTTTTGAGACGTCTAAAACGTTAGTCTCTCCTGTAACTGATTGATGTAAAGCATTCGAAATGTCGGGAACCAAATAAAAGACCGAAAAATTATTTTATTTTATTTAAAACTAGCGACTCATCCTCTCTTCTTCGGGACTTCGGGTTCATCCCTAAACAAAAACAAATCTATTCCACGGAACGGACATTTTTCCGGGATGATATATAGCCTATAGCCTTCATCAATAAACCAGCTATCTAAAGCAAAAATAATTTTTCAAATCGGATTAATAGTTCCTGCGTCATTAGATTAGCGCGTTCAACTCAAACAAACAAACAAACTCTGCCTCTCTATAATATTAGTATAGATGTTGTACACACAAAATATTCCGTCCTGTAGCCGTTCGTGCCCAAGGACATAGTGCGCGCGGCGGACAAGCCGGAGGACGTCAAAATAGAGACGGCGGACATCTCCGACCGATTCCGCTTCTTCGAGACCTACCGGCCGGAGTCCGCGCCCGAGCGCAGGCCCTTCCGCATGACGCCGCCGCGACAGCCGCAGGTACGTCTGTCTGTGTGTGTGTGACCTTCGAAACTTGTTACTTACGGTTAATATGGTAAACATAGGTTTGATGAGTTGTTGTAGATTGGAAATGGTGTACTATAAAGAAAATTTCACTTTGTTTATACAGGTCATTTTTATTTTCTGAAGACCTTTTAGGAATATACTATTTACATCATAACAACATCTGTATATATATATATATACGGGAGAGAGTCTCTCCCGTGACCATGATTGCTGTAAAGCATTCGAAACGTCGGGAAACAAAAATGCAAATAAATCCGCGACAAAATCCGAAAAGATAGTTTTATTTAAAATTTAAGAAATATTTTTTTCTTACAGATGTTGTTTTGATGTAAATAATATATTCCCAAAAGATTTAATGATGTTGTACAATAAAGAATATTTCGCGTAACTAAACATGTACGTGCACGCAGCGTGCCAAGTCCCCGTCGCCGGACGTGTACCACGAGCCGAGCGTGGCGCGCGCGGACGCGGGCGCGGCGGACGCGGGGCTGGCGGCCGCGCGCCACACCGCCTCGCGCATGATCTCCGTGTTCCGGCAGATGGAGGAGCGCGTGGACGCTGAGCCGATGGGTGAGGGCACTTACACTTGGATTCAACACTTATACTTAGACTCACACTTATACTTTCACTTACACTTATACTTACACTCACACTTACACTTAAACTTACCTTTACACCTACACTCACACTTACACTTACCTTTACACTTACACTTAAACTTACCTTTACACTTACACTCACACTTACGCCTTTATTCATCGTTCATCATATCACGCTTTGTAGCCTAAGCGACTAATTTTAGTTAGTCGATATACATATGTATATGAATATTGGGGTGATTTTATAGAATATATAATATTCTTTTTAATAAATAGTATCTGCTATATAAGGAAAAACTATAAAAAAATTGTAACATGGGTATCGTATTACAAAAAAAACAACAGATTTTTTTATATAATTGAGCTTTTTAAAAATTATTTTGTATTTATTTATGTTTATAAGTTACACAAAAACAAACAGAAATTGCAACCACACTTACACTTTCACTTGCACTCTCACTTACACTGAAGTTATTACTTACAGTTGCATACTTACACTTACTACTACTGAAATTTAACACTTAGGCTTGAATACATTTATACATATAAAATAACATAATATTTGTAAACAGAGCCAAATCTAGGTGAAAGCACTTATGTTTTCACTCAAATTTTCACTAGAAATAAATACTTACACTTGTATGTACTTACATATATGTATAACAATTTGATAATTTTAGTTTTAAAATTACAACTTTTTAATATAAAAAATACAGTGAACTTAAAATCACTGAGAATAAATTATTCTACGTTATATGAGTAGATTTTTCTCTTAAAATTTGACCTATTCATTGAAACAAATATAAAATCTATTTTCAGTTTAAAGTTCAAATTAAGCACTTCGCCCTTAGAATTTGCTCAAATATGACATAATAACCCTCCCTCAGGTCCGAAACCCTTAAAATGCTTCACGCCCCCACCCCCGGAGGAGGCTGGGCGTCACCTGGACGTGTCCTCGTCCGAGTACAGCGATAGCGAGGACGAGCACCCCTACGGGAGGGATGATGAAGCCCTCCGACAGGTATATTATAAAAAAAACCGGTGTGTATACTTATGTACGCATGTAAGAAGTAACTTCTTTGGCGTAACAGAACAAAAATAGCTAAAGATTTCATCCCGCATGTCACAACTCTCTGTTTGTAAAAGGAATGCTGCTGACTTCATCATGTCGCTTTTTGGCTGTCGGTGTGTGCGCGCATTGTAAAAATTTTACTCATATTTTTTTCCAAACGTGCCCTTTTGGTACATACATACAGTATACATAACTTCAAAAATTCCAAAAAGGTAAAAAAAAGGTAGAAAAAAATACGCCAAGAAAAAGAATGAATTTTCGCCATTGAATTGGGAATTGAATTATTTATTACATATCTCAATATATTATTATATGCATTTCATTATTCATTACTGACATCAGGCACAACAACTAGCCCGAACCAAGTCGTTCCGAGACCGTTTCGAGAATTGGTCGGAGAATGAGAGAGAGGAGAGAGACGAGCGTCCGCCCTCCGTCATAGAGAGGTGCGAGGACGGAGAGTCACAGTTAGAGACTGCTAAGAGGTAAGCTCTCTGGAATTGCTTCTTTTAAGACAGGTTGTTTTTGTTTTGATTATGGCAACAAATGTATTAAAATAATGTATAATCTTTTGTTGTGGCAACATATCTAATTAAGCCGGTAAAAGCGTTAATTAGTTTCCTTTTAAAATAAATATCTGATAAATTATTAGGTAATTTTTTTTTTCTCCCACCATCGGCCATAAGGTTGAATCGAAATTGAATGAAAAGAGTATTGGTATTACCAATTGATTTGTAATTTTTTGTGTGTATGATTTAATGATAATCACAAGACGATTCAAGATTTATTATGCAAAGTATAGTTTGCTATTCAGATATTCTTAAGGAAACAATGTTGTTTATTTTAATTTTAAGATGTCTTATGCATGCCATAGTAAAACCATATTATTATTTTCAGTTTACGTGAGAAATTCGAAAATATGAAAGTGCAAACAACGACCGTCAATAAAACGTTTGCGCCCAAAGTGAATAGATTCGTTGTGAGTATAATTTTAGTAAAATTAATAATTTCATTCAAATTGATTATGAAAATGATATTAAAACCTTTTTCATTGTATACTATTTATATTCAATATTACATATATTATGTCTACAACAGATAATATTTGGTTAAAAACAACATTTAAAATATACCACGTTATAGAATTCTTTCTTTCTAACATCTATTTTAGTGTCCAGTCTACATCTATTTTATATAATACTAACGACTCAATCGCTTCGTTCGGGTTCGTCACTATGTACGTTTTAACGGAATAGACACATATATACATAGGTATAGAAAAGTAGATAAGTACTTTAAAAATAAAAATATATCTCTAACGTGAGAAATGATTGATTACAAACTACCACCCTGTAAAGGGATGATTCCGGGATATAAACTGTCCTATGTCCTTCCCAAGGTCTGAAAATATCTCCATTTCATCTTATTTATCTCCATTTCATCGTTACTTTCGCATTTATATATTAGTATGTATGTGTAATTATGTATTATTCTATTCCAGTGACCATCCAGTGGTAGCTTCGAACCGCCTCAAAATTGCCAAAGGATTTATTTAAACACAATTCTTTATTAAGAACCACTTGCCACTAACTTAAGATCTTTGAATCGATTTCACAATTTCTATTATATTTATTAAATATACTCCTTTATTTCTTCATTAGATTTTAATACTAATTTTAGTGGTAGTCGGTTTTGCGTTGATTCATATGAATCTCATCTGTAATCTCATTTATTACCAATTGATTCATAATTGATTTAATATTATTATAACATGATTCATCTGTAAGTTTTCTCTCATATTTAAGGGTGTCTAGTCTAATGTTAGTGACATTTCTAATATCGTGACATTTTAGATTTTAAACGGCAAAATTAAATTTATATATAGGACTGAAAGGAGATGCATTTGGATTCTGGTGCCTTAAAAGTACAATTGTATGTACTTTTCCATATATTTACAATAAATATATAAAAGATACATAGATAGTTCTTGTTTTACGAATAAAAGAACTAATTTGAACTTGTAAAAGTATTTTTTTCATTTAAATTTGTTTATTATATAGTAGTTATTGTCATCTCGCCAAACAAATGCTATATTGTAAGGAGCATGTTTGTTCCTCGGTGCTACAATTTATTATGAAAGCTCAAAATGCTAATATTTTCTTATATTCAAATAAATTTATTTAAAATGTTCATTTCTCATTTATACTTTAATATTCAAGAAATATATCTAATTCTTTTTATGTATGAACAAATAAGTATTGTTTTTATTAGTTTATTGTTTGTAGTCTATAATATATGATCAAACGAACTTCCAAGTGAAGTTCGATCATTATTATATGAGTCGCTTCATTCGAAGATATTATTTTTACCCTGTAGTCCCCTTTCCTTGCGCTAGCAATTACGCACGTCTTTAGATAAGTTTTTTAAGTACCTACATTTTTTTTTGTGTTCACCCACGTTTTAACTATTTCAACTTCGGTTTTTGATCGTGTAGTTTAGTCATTATTTTAGAGAACTCGATTTTTTGCAAATCTCTTGAGGGCTTTTTGGGTGGGTAGGGAACAAAATATCTTCGAATGAAGCGACTCATATAATAATAATCGAACTTCACTTGGAAGTTCGTTTGATCATATATTATATTTCGTCGCTTCATTCTTCAGATATTATTTTTACCCTGTAGATTTTAAGAGTTTAGAGATTTGCAATGTTACGTTTCAATTAAAATAACAAGGATTTTTACAAAATGAACGTTTAATCTTAAGCAAAAATAAAGTATTGATAGACTATATTATAATAACTAATTTAAATCAAATATTTTTGCATATTGATTCTGCAAATTCTGCTTCATTAATCACATTAAGTTTGTAAAATTTAGCAAAAGTTTGAGAACGACTCGTCCATCCCGCAGCTTTCCGTATGGTATCAATACATACCCCAGCGGAATTTGCAGAAGAAGTTGAAGCGTGTCGTGTACTGTGTGCACTGAATATTGAGGTATTAACACCACTTTCTGATAAAACCAATTTAATCCATCGACTTATCGTTTGAGCTGTAGCCGTCCTGTGAGGCTTTCAGCTCACCTTGTTTGACAATAGTCTTAGAGGCTTTTATTTTTTCTGAGAGATCGCTACCGAACAGCGTATTGTCGCGTTCGGTGCGTTCTAAAAATTGTAAAAAAGATTTATCGAGGCCAGGGAGTATAAATTTGATTCTTTTCTCAGTATTTTGATGATGTAAATCAGATAAAATTCTACATCCGTCACTTATAAATTTTATAGCCTCAATTTTGCTTCCATCGTGAATAAGCAAATGCAAACCTCGGTTAATTGCAGTAATACCCACGCCCAATTGTCGTTGGGTAGCGGCCATTTTCTTATCCCGAGCTCTACCTGATTCGGGTATAGCTGCAGAAATCTCCGGATTAAGTATTGGCGCTTGAAGCCAAGTACAATTCTCTGGGATTAAATAGTTTTTCAAGAGTACCTCCCTGTTATCTTTCGACATACCTTGTTTTAACAAAGGTGACCATATTTTTACGAGGCTTTCGTGAATTTTCTCACCAAACTCTGGGGTTTCGTCCGTGATTTCCCCTAATGCTGCCAAAATACTTGGATCCAAAACGGGAACAGTTGAAGAATTCGCCACATTGTTATCGCCCGGTGAATTCATACAGACTTCAGGACCAGTAACCCCTTCATTTGGTGCTTCCATTGATGTCCCAGGCTCGGCGTCAATAACCGAGCTCATAGTTACGGGATCCCCAATTCCAATTGAATCTGGAAATATTTTTCTCTGTCATGTGGGTAGTCTTAACTTTTACTTTATAAATATAAGAACAGCATTATCTGTGATTCTAATTTATATAAATTGTAACTGTCTTATTTTAAAAACTATTGTGTTATCATCTGGGATAACCTCCCAGTACAAATTAACCTTCGTGGTACCATCACGGATAACCTCCCGGTATAAATTAACCGTCATGTTACCATCTCGGGTAACCTTTAGGCATTATTAACTTAATTAGCCTTTGTAATGCCATCTCGGACATTCTCCAGGCGTTTTTATCATAGTTAATATAATTATTACTATTTAAATACATTATACTTAAGCACCAATTTATAGATGAAACTTGTACTTACTTGTATCTCTTGTTTCTTGTTCCGAATCCGATGAAGGCGATAGGCATCTTATCCGACGACGGCTTTTGTTTTCCAACTTTCGTAATTTGCTTTTATAATATTCAATCTTATCTTTAGTTTTACGTTTTGGCATAGTAACACTTTATACTACACGTATACGAAGTATATTGAAGACGTCCGTTCGTTGCTGCGCACGAAAAAGGAATGACTAAACTACACGATCAAAAACCGAGGTTGAAATAGTTAAAACGTGGGTGAACACAAAAAAAAAATGTAGGTACTTAAAAAACTTATCTAAAGACGTGCGTAGTTGCTAGCGCAAGGAAAGGGGACTACAGGGTAAAAATAATATCTGAAGAATGAAGCGACGAAATATAATCCTTATTATTTGGACGTAGTTATGCAAAATGGATCCCGCCCACGAAAACCGTTTTTTTAGTTACTGTCATAAATGGCACCTACAATTATCATCTTATACACAGAAAGTAGATAAAATACCCAAATATTTAAGAGGAATTTCAAAACAAACTTGTTAAAAAAAGTCTTGTTATTTTGTTATAACCATTTTTACTAAAACTGCTATTTGCTCAAAAGTAAGTTTTTTTGTTTGGATCTATTTTGCATAACTACGTCCAATTGTTAATTATTAATAATAATAAAAAAGGAAGAATTTCATAATAAAAACAGTCAATTGTATCATTTCTAAAATAATAATTATTAATGAAAATTGTTATTCTATATATATGGGCCTAAATATTTTTTATATTTTCCTACTTTATGTGCCATTGCCCAGATTCTTGTTTTTGAGCGTTTGCACAAAATTAATAATTCGAAGTATGTTTTATAATTGAACGTATTTAAATTATTATAAGCATAATTACAATTGTAATTACATAATTACAATACAATTAAAACTATTTATATAATATTTTTTCTTATTATTGCATGTTCATTGTAATCAAATATACTAGCAAGTTATGACTGAACTTTTTCATATTGTTTGTACTTAAATACTGTTGTGTCGGTGTTTTTTATTACACAAACTGCGATATTTGTAAGAGTAATAAAGAAAAATATTTAAATTTATGCCTTTTATTTATTTATTTTACTAACGACTTACCCTCGATTCGCTCGAGTACGTATTTAGGTACGTTTTTTTTGAGCGGAACTTTAATTATTTTTCTAAAATAAAAGCAGTCTAAGTTACTGCTTGTAATATCAGCTATCTGCCAGTGAAAGTCTTGTCAAAATCAGTCAAGCCATTTCGGAGATTAGCCGGAACAGACAGGCAGACAAAAAAATTAAAAATTGTATTTTTCCTATAAGTACCGTATATAATTTCATATGCATTTAGTAAAAACCTGTTATTTTGACATTACAAACAGACACTTCAATTTATCTCTATAGATATCTCTATCCCAAAAATACATAGTTTTTGCTAGTCTCATATTAAAGTTATGTTCATCAGCAAACTAAAATATCAGATTATAGAGAAATAGGTCTAGTATTTGTCTTAAAATCGTCATAGTTTCCATCCAACTGGTACTCACTATACATCAAAAAAGACGATATATGTCATAAAAATAGCTGTTGTCTTTAAAATCTTGAAAATATTTTAATGGGCTTATCACACTGAGAGATTTTTCAGTGGGTGCAATTAAGGAGTGAAGAAAATTATTTCTAGTTAAGAATTTTGTATCGTTTAACATATTTTCATTTACAAATATTTTGTATTTCAATAGCTTGACGGCTTGCGCATAAGCGAAATCTAGTGTCCATGAAAACAAACAAAAATATCCCGAATTAGCACTTCAATATCTTTTAATGGTATCTGTATTAGAATCAGTATATATAGTATTGTCTTTAAATTGCGGTTTACATAATTTACGGAACGGCATCAATTATTTCACTTGACAAAAACTAACTTAAAACACCAAGAAATTTCTTTTGAAGCTTTTGGGGACTTCAGCCGATTACCCTCCCATAAGTAGAGCTTTGATCTCACTGATATAAATGCGAATGTTTGTTATGTAGTAACAGCTCAACTAAGAGTAATTGGAAATATAGATAGCTTATGTCCTGGATTAACACAGGTTAGTTTCTTATCAACGCGAGAGAATCTCGGGCGAAACTTAAAAAGAAAGCTATAAAAAGCCCCCATACCCCGAATATACTTCTCTTACTTTACTTATTTCTTCAATATAATATTTATAATATGTATTTAAAGTTATATATGTGTAGTGTATCAACTATTTGGTATCCATAACACGAGCCTCGTAGCTTACCATGGAACTAGATGGTGCTGAGTGTTAATGTACCAAACAACCTATCTATTTATTTATATTTAAAAAAATATATAAGTATACAAAGGATAAAAAGGACAAAATCAATAAAACGACAAAAAAATCTATCATAATCTATTTATTATTTTCAAAAAAATATAGGAAACGTGAAACAATAATTTAACTTCTAAACTTAAATGTCAATCACAACTTGAGACTGCACTGAAGCTACATTCTTACAATTTGACAGGACTCTTAATATTTTGCACCTTTCACCAAGGTCTGAATTATTAAATATATAAAAAAAGTTTGATGTATGTTTGTGCATGTCTGGTTGATAATTCAAAAAGTACAAATTTAAAAATGTGACATTCAGGAAATTTGTTTGGATTTCAAAAATGAATTCAAAATTGATTATAGCTATTAGCTACCTCAGATTTCCTTTGACTGACATTTTCATTTTATTTTTAATATTTCTAAAAACTTGTAAAACACTTATAATTTAGAAAGCTTAGGACGCTCAAAATTTATTTTGTACACGAGTAATAAAAATGTACTCTTAAAAAGTAAAATTTGGTTCTTGGATAATGAAAAATTTAACAATGTTCTTCTCTAACTGAGCAATGACAACAATGAGCTAAAAAGCATAGACAGAGTGGACCGAGTGTATCTTTGCCAGCCGTCAGCTGAAAATGGCGGTAAGGTGCGAAAGAGACAGAACGAATGTGCGGCCAGAAGTCTTCTCATTGAAATACAATGAATTAATATAAATATAACCAATTTATATTCCATTTTAATATATATATTTTTTATATTCCATATATTCCATTTATAAATTCAACTTAGAATAAAATCCAAGTATTGGCCCCACGTTCGCTTTCTCTCTTTCTAGAGAGTGGTCAATTTCATGCGAGTATCGATCAGTCCATACTCTATGTCTATGCTAAAAACTAACTCAAAAGATTTGTGAAAAGTTCATATAAACATGTCACAAATTCGTCAATTTCCGATTTTTAGTTGCGTTGGCAATTTCATCATAATATAAAATATAAAATTTTATTATATAATATTAATATTATTAAATATATAATTTTTGTTTCAAAAAAACAAAAAAAAAATTGGAAATCTCGTTTGAAAATGGCAAGTATTAAATGAAACAGTTTATTATATTTGTTGTTCATAAAGAAGGTTGTCTTTTACAAAATTGTGCTTGGGGTTAAACATTTTAACGAATAAAAAAAGATATATTGTTGAGAAATTTGCTTCAAATAAATCAGTAGTTCCCAACCAGGGAGTGAGTTTATTTTGTATAACTTAAAATAAAAATAAATAAAAATTAGTTAATGTTTAAAATATAAATCGTTAAAATAATGTGTTAAAATAAAGGGGGGCAAAAAAAATTTTGATAATCCAGGGAGGCTCAACAGAAGAAAGGTTGAAAAGGGAAAAGGGAAACTATGAAATAAATCCTTCGGAATCACACTATCTTCACAATTATTCCTTTCACGCTCATCTCGCCATACAAATATTTAATATGAACTGTATGGGATATTATACTTTATATACATAAAGAATAAATTTTTCGTTATTAAATATATTTTTTTTTTGTTTTAAAAGTTAATTCTTCATTTATACTGTGTGCTAAATTGAGTTGATGGATGCTCCAATAAAAAAATACTAAAAAGACACACCACGGTGGTATGTTAAGTTTCATCGGAGCCTCATATCTATACTAATATTAAAAATGTAATAGTTTGTGAGTATGGATGTTTGTTACTCTTTTACGCCAGAATAGCTGAACGGATCTGGATGAATTTGGCACAGATATAGGTTATAGGCTGGAATAACACATAATCTACAACAAAAAATGTACGGTTCCCGTGGGATAGATTTGTTTGATGATGATGATGATAGTAAATATATATTATATTTTATCAAAGAGTCATAACATATATTTCACATAAGTAAAACCAATTAGAAGCAGAATATATGAAAAAAATATATATATTTTATATTTACAGTATGTTATCCATACTAATATTGTAAATGCGGAAGTAACTCTTGTTTGCTTGTTTGTTATCTTTGTATGACTAAACAGCTGAACTGATTTAGATAAGTAATTAAATGTGGCACTCGGAGACTGCCGCGGTAAAGCTATTGCATAGCTTTTTTTATCAACTTATGCAATTATAATTATTTATTTATTTTATTAATGCAGTATTTTTTTTTCCTTGACTTTCTTCATTAATAAATGCACTTTGTTTATTCATATTTAAAACACTTTGTACACAAATTATACGAGTACAGATATTCACTGTTGTACATAGATGATAAATACCTATACACCTATATACTTTCTCACAAACAGCTGATTACGGTAGTTTTCCAATACAACCAATGCCACCTAAAGGCGGGTTGCTGAACTAAAGAGACAAGCGTGATATTTCAAAAAGTCATTAAAAGTTCTGGTATTTATCGATAGATGGAAAAACTAAAAAGTATCACCGCTGTGCCGGTCGGAGTGTGGGGTGTCAGGTTTTTTTCGTTACGGAATTTCTGGATTCGGTCCCCACGCTCAAGGCCCGCGATAGAAGCTATGATTGCATATTATGATGCTATTGAGCTTAAAAAATTGGTATGGAGATAGTATGAGACCTTAGGAATTACATACGATAGTTTTTATCCCGGAAATCATCCCTTAAGTGGGTGAAAGTGGAGTGGAAGTTTGTATGGGGAATCAATCATTTCTCAAGTGAAGGATATAAAACTTATCATACATATGTATATACAGTCTATATATTCCATACTAACCATCAACATAAAAAAATGATTCCAAAGAACATAGCATCTCCCAATCTTTTATAGAAAAACAATAAAAAGAAAAATGCTCAATTACATAGTTTAACCCCAATCAATTAGAAAATATAATATCTCTTACATATACATCGTTTCCACAATAAATAGCGAGGCACTCTCCCGCAGAGGGAGACCCCCATCAGCGAAATGTCAACAACGGACATAATAAATAATATAATCAAAAAAATCACAAAGGAATTACACTAACTTATCTACATTATATCTTTTTACTCTTAGTGCAAGTTGTTTAGAAATATGTGTGAAATAATTAATCTTTTCCACTTAAAATTTATGTTTTTTTTTTTTCAATAATATTCATCATCTTCATTAAAACTTTCACATCACAATCTGTACGCAGTTTTAGATATAGCTTTACATAAATAAAATATGTATATATTTTTAAGTAGTTGTTAGTAATAACAGATTCGGAAATTTACTTTGTATTATATTATCTATACAAATACTATAAAGAGGTAAAGTTTGTGAGTTTGTGATGTTGTAAGGGGTAATCTCTGGATCTACTGAACAAATTTAGATGAAATTTGGTAAGAAGATAGTTTGACACCCTGGGAATGACATAGGATAGTTTTTATCACGGAAATCATCCCTTACGGGGATTGAAAATGGGGATGAAAGTTTTTATGGAGAACTCTTAATATATCTTTTAATATAAAGAATATTAATTAGTTAAAATTAGCAAAAAATATTATTTTATCCTTTAAAGTTATTAAAATTTCATTTTTCGAAATATTTTTTAAACACATATATTTGTCAATAAATATAACTACAAAATTAGCTGTAAAGAAATCATTAAAAAACTAAGTACAAATCACTGGTTGAAACTATCTAAAACTGCGTGTTCAATCATCCTCAGTATAGCCTCTAAGAGACCCTTAGTCTATATTTACAACAAATTAAGCTATTACTGCTTTGCTTGGAGAAATTTTGATATTTTTGAACCTTGCACGGGCAAAAACGAGATCAAAAGGATTTATGAAACAAATTTAAGTGTATAATTAAAAAAAAAACATCAAAGTAAGCCTTTAAGAAAAACAACATGTATGCATTTTAGTTACCGCTGTTAAGTTTTACGGACAAATGGAAACAATATTTCAAATTTTTGCATATATAATTTGACTGTAACAAGGACTTGCCGATGTCAAGGTCCAACAATATCGCATATATTCCAAGCGAAAGCACCCAAAAAACTAATCGGGAGAACGATGGATCACTTGCGGTAACTTTTCACTTTGCACTTTATCAGACACACTTGCCACTTTATCAGACACACTTTGCGTCTTATCAGATACACTTTGCGTTTTGTCAGATACACTTTTCACTTCCTTAACATCTCTATGCTTTTCATATTTTCTGTCGTCTGATTTGTGGTCCTTTCTATGGTCTTTATGGTCCCTCGATCTTTCAGATTTATGTGATTTATGCCGCGATGACGTATGTCTTCGATGATGGTCATGTTTGTCCACTCGATCAGACTTCTCTGGCCGATTGTCTTTATCTGTTCGGTTTTCTTTTTCTTTCTCAGTTCTGCTGTCAGATTTATCTGATCGTTCGGATCTGTCCAGCGTTCGATCAGATTTATCTGATTTCTCAGTTTTATCCGTTCTTTCCGATCGGTCCGACGTTCTTTCGATTTTGTCACTAGTTTTCATTTCTGATTTATCCGATCTACTTTCTGTTCTATCTTTGTCCGGCCTTTCTATTCTGTCAGTTCTGTCGACTCTGTCAGGTTTGTCAGATTTATTTTCGGGTTTGTCAAGTTTGTTTTCTTTGTCTGACAGTCTTATTTCTGGTTTTTCTGATGATTTATCTGATTTGTCTGTTCTGTGTTTGTCAGTATCTCTGTGCCGGTGAGTGTCCTTGTGTTTATCGCTTCTCTGCTCAGTTTTATCACTCTTGTCTGACTTCTCATGCCTTTCTGTCCGCCTCTCTTTCTTTTCATCGGGTTTATCTTTATTTTGGACTTCCAAACCTTTCCTGTTCTCTGATATTTTCAATTCAGCCTTTTCTTTGAATTTAGCGCTGAGTGCTCTCATTTCTATGACACCGAGCTTATGTTTTGTTGGGGTTTTGGGATCTGTAAATAAAAAAATATACATATTTACAACACTTAAAAAAACCGGTCAAATGCTTGTCGACCCACGCGTTCCGGCCCATCACAATAATGCGGACTACGAAGAGGGCTTTTTGTTGTTTCATACTATGAACAGTTAACGTTAACGGTTTCGCCGGCTCATAGTAACAAGTATATTTTACAAGTTTGTCGACTATTAATTATTATCCAACGACACTCCACACCATGGGATAGAAGAGAAAAAAAAAACATCCCCACTTTACGTGTAGAGGAGGTACACTAAAAACTTTTTTTTTTAAGAATTTATTTTACCACTTTGTCGGTGTGACTAATAAGTATATTCATGTCAAATTACGGCTTTCTAGTACTAAGAATCTCGGAGCTAAGCTACGACTCACGAACGGATACACGGATATGGCCAAATTATAGAATTCCTTGTCGGCTATGGAGCCTTAAAAATGATTAAAAATAAAACTAATTATAATAATACCACTAAAACCAACAATATAAATAAACAAAATTGAATTACCGCTATGATTGCTTGTGTTTTGGTCGGGTGGTGACCTCTCTTCTGCCGGTGAAGAGGCCTCCGATGATGGGTAGTACTGCTTCAGCCTGAGATGCCATGCTGTTGGTACGGTAAGTTAATTATTTCAACACTTATGTATTACAAATGTTAGTTTGTATGTGTGTATATTTCTTATTCCTTAACGCCGAAACGGTTATATGGATTTAGATGAAATTTAGTATATGATATGGCCTGGAGTAACGCACCAGCTACTGTTAGTAATAAAATATCCCAATAGGTGGTGCTCATATATAATTATATAACATTATGAAAACAAAAGGCACCTATCAACACTGAGGGAAGTTAATACCAGTTTCTATATAACTCTCTGTTACGGTGGCATAAAAAAACTTCACAATTTTTTTTCCTGTCTTATCTAAAAATATGTAAATTTTCATGTTATAAGAGTCCTCTTTAAAGATCAACTTGAGAAAAAAATATTTTAGGGGTCGAGTTTTTTTTAATTCGTTATGAAACATCAAAATCAATGAACTTAAAAATGTTCATAAATTCTGTGCGACCTTTAAAAACCAATATTTTAAACTGTAACTTTGAGGACGTTAAAATTTCACTGAGAAAATAAAATAATAAAAAAAATTGACCTTTTCTAGAATTATTAAAAATCTAACCCTAAACATTTTTTTCGAGATGATCTTCAAAGAGGGCTTTTAAAACATGAAAAACTAACATATTTTCATACGAGACACGAAAAAAAATAGTCGTTTTTTTTTGCGCTACGTACCTACTCTCTTTAAAAAAAACTTTATTTTAGTCCCTATATTTTCACTCATATTTATCACCCACAAAATTAAACCACAACTCACCAACAGAGGTCACCGCTGAAACAGTTCTAAATTGATGTATGATGTTTCTCGGTAGGAAGTACACGTCGTCAGAGCAGAGAGGCAGTCGCGAGTAGCGTACACCTTCCCGTCTAAGTTGGTTAAGTTTAGCTTCTTCTAACCTGGTAAATGAGTAAAATAAATTTAATGTTAATATTTCATAATTATATTTCATTATCAATTGTTACGCGCCGCTAGATTATTAGAAGACATCAAGTACGCCTACATACAACCTCTGTGGTGTTCGTATACGCAGGTGCCAGGCAGGCAAGAAAATTATGACGACGAATATATGGGACGTATGATTTTTCTGTTGTGCATATAAATTTTATTAATTACTGTCAATATAACAATTATATCAGGAAAAGTGGTTCATTGTTTCACACAATAGTTATAATTCTTACTTTTGTAATAAATAATATGTAAAAATAATAATAATATATAACTTCCTCCTAACTATTACAGTTACGATCAGGGATTGGAAACCCGTTCAATTTTTAACCCGGTTTTGATCAAACCCAAACATCAACCCCAAACCGAAAGGCTTTACGGTTTGAGGCTTCGGTTACGTTCTTTAACCGGTTAAAACCAGGAGAACGGTTTTTATGAATTTCGGTTCCCTGATCAAGTTTACCGGAGAAAATGAGTTTGTTTGCGTTTACATTCAACAAATATTAGCTGATTGTGAATTGTTTAGTAGAAGGATGCATGTACGTTTCTTACTTATGAATGAGTTAACCGGTTTATTTCGGTATCAAAACCGAAATCCAGCCTTTCTCTAATAATAACCGTTAACCATTATTATTTCGGTTTACTAAAAAGTTCGTTTTCATTAACGGATAAATCAACGAACGATGAATAAAGAAGTTTCCTGATATTGTTTATATCAAACTTAAAGCAATGGAATTATAATATACATAAGTCAAAAGTCATAAATTAGTGATTTTTTTTAAAGACAAAGGTAGTGTGATGTCACGGAATTATTCATACAAGCGCAACTTTAAACTTTCATAACTTTTTCATTTTTTGAGATATTTTTATTATTCTTTTATATTTTTGTTATATGTACATATATTACTTAAATCTACACATAAAGAAATTGGATACTTCTCCATTAACTATAATACATTACCGTAGAAAACCTTTTCCGAGTCCTGGTTATGAAGTGTAATCTCACTTATACTAACCAAATGTGGTCTAATTATTAATTTAAATTAATACTACTACTTTATACGGCAACCCTCATAAGGTAAGGTATATATTATATCGATGGGTTATTGGAACAAAGCCGCAATCGACAAAATACAATTTTACAGGAAAAAAGATTTAGTGAAAATCATGAATAATTACTAAACTACGAGGCTCATCAAAACGGTTTATACATCAAAAGATGCGTTATTTTTTTCTGGACGGATATATAATGTACATAAGCTTATAAATCTAAGGAAATACCTAAAAACAAGTAAAAAATCATATTGCCGCTTCATACATTGAATGTCGTTTCCGTAAGAATCCATTGTGGTTTTATTCCGGTAAAAAGTGCAAAATTAATCAGACAGCAATAGTCTATTGCAACGTTGTACGCTGAGCTGGAGGATGTATGGCGAATACAGTAATAGCGTTTTGCAGTGATGTTACATGAATTTAATGATCGACTTGGAAAATGTACTTGTGAATGCTGTGTACATTATATGAATATGGTTGTTTTGGAATGACTACAATCAATCTAGAATATATCGTAACTATTTATTATTATGTATTTATTATTTTTACTTAAAGTTTTGGACACAGCATAATTAAGTCATAAGAAAAAATACCAATATACCTATTTACCCGAACAATAACATAGTCTTCAGGTTATTTACATTTCTACGATCTAAAATGTATTAAAGTATTAATTTTGACGGTAGGTATCAAAAAGAAATAACAAAATTATCCATAAAGAAATGGTGTGTCTTCTTGGGAATAATGTTCTGCTACGAGTACTTCATCCTCAACAGTTTCGCATGCCAAAACCTCATAAAAATCATGGTAGTGGCGTGGTATGTCATAATTTTTACAAAGACTTAATAAGTCTGAGTGCAAGGCTTTAGGCACAGGAAATGGTTCATTGTTAAGCCCTTTGCAGCTTGGAAACGATTGGAATTTCAGCAGTAGGAGTAGCAGCAGCACGGAGTATTTGTGCACCTCGTGAACTTCCACTTCCTGTGCGTCCACCGTACCCGGGCGCCTCGAGTAGGAAATCTGGCTAGTAGATCACGAGTGTGTATTATTATTTATTATATTTTATTGGAAGTGGTGCCGAGGCCGGCCATAACTACGTCGACCAGTTGTGGTCCATTGTAGCTCTCTGTGTGTGTAACTCCGTACGCGTGTGGAACTCCATAATATAATCATCTTCAAAACTGTATTTTAAGTTCAGTATACCCTCATGAGTACCCGCAACAACTTCCATAATATTGGACCACAATATTTTATTTCCCTCAGAGTCATGCGTCCAATTTCGGCCTTCAATAAGCATTTTTATATCGACAAAGTCAGATTGATCCATCTCTATCACTTTATATTTCTCGCCACTAACTATGTCATTCATTGCAAGTGCGTCTGACAAATAATGGCATAATAATAATATTATTATAAGTCTCAATATTTTGTAAATAGCTTATTGTGCTATTTCGTAGTTCTTTTGCAGAGGGCAGAATTAGTGATGAGATGTTTTGGACCACGGGGTTCAAGATAGAACAAGAATCATTATCTTCTGAAATTCTACCTAAATTGCATAACAATGTTTGACTTGAGTCGGAAACTGTAATATTCTCTGGTTTTAAAGTAGTATCTAATTCCGAGATCTTCAAATCTATGGCGCTACCACTACCTTGACATAGACAAGAGACATTAAATCTAGAATGTGTATCTTCGGCAAGTACTACGAGTATATCTTCTATTGATACAGTGACCCCTCGTTGTTCTCCTGGTTATTTACACTCAACGTTTAACTTGTAGTGTCAGAGTTATAATTAATCTGAAAGTTATGTTCTCGAGGGGATTTTAATTCTATACCCACAAAATACCCCATTTCGTCGTTATTTCTAATTTGATTTTTGTGTTTTGGGTGTGCTTAAACTAATAGTATGGTATCTACTTTTAATATTTATGATGGAGATATTTTTATCAACCGACTTCCTCAAAAAGGAGGAGGTTCTCAATTCGGCTGTACGTTTTTTTATGTTTGTTACCTCAGAACTCCGTCATTTATTAACCGATTTGAACAATTTTTGTTTTGTTTGAAAGTGTATACTTCTAGATTGGTCCCTTTTAAATTTCAAAAAATATAACACCACTAAGGGTGGAAAAATACCTAATGATGAATTTAACCTACTTCTAATTATCATATTGACTTGAAACTTTGCAAGTGCTTCTATTTCTGTTGATAGTGCAGTGGTTCGGTATCGTTGACCTGATCTGATGGTAAGGCCAGAAGGTGGATAGGTGGAACTCTTCAACAGCTAATAGTAAAGTAACGGCTAATAGTACTTTGAGTTTGGGCTTATTTTGTTTGATTTGACAAGCCTAACACGTTAGAATCAGATTTTAGAGCCAGAATTTTTAGTGTTTATAATAAAAGTGAATTTTAGTTTGTCAGTCTTCATATTAAAATTAGCATCAAAGTAACTTAAACGGTTTAAGCAAAAATATTTTATTAAAATACTTTCTTCTCACTTTGCTACTACTATGTCTACACTAAGAAGGAAAAAATAAAAACTTTTTAACAAAAAAATAATAACCGACTTTAAAAAAAGCACTAAAAAGTAAAAAAAAATACTGATTGGTAGTTTTCATTTACTATACATACAAAAATAATAATAATATAATATTTTATTACTTTAAGATGCACACCTATGTGATGTGTCACAACAATAATAATATAATAACTACTTATTCAATATTATCTGGCAGGCATTTAGGCAGGCATATTGATAAACACACTTTTGATATTTAAAAACTAATGTGAGAAAAACAGTACATAGATTACATACATATAGCACTGTTTATTGAAAATCAATCGACATATTTTTATTTCATGTAAGAAAACCATAATTACTATTACTAGTGAAAGTTTAAAATATTTGTACAGCAATGTTTATTGTGAATCGGTATACTAAGTTTATTTCGGGGAACAAAGCCGCAATGGACGTTAGTTGTAGAAGGTTGAAAAAAACTTTTATCATTGCACATAGCACGATTATTCCGGCAAACAAAATTCGAACGATGAACGGGGAATAACGAGAGAATATCCATACTGCTTTTGCTATCTCAGGCAGTTTTCATTATTAATTTATGAAAAAAATCCACAAGGTGTAATAGGGTCCGTAGATTACGAAAATGGCTTAATCGGAAAACAGCTACTATGGCTATTGCGGTCTTGTTCCAGGCACCCATCGATATAAATTATTCAAATAGACTAAAAATGGCCTATTATAAATTAAAAATTTTAAAAACCCCCTACGCAAATTAATTGTCATTTAACGATTACACTGGCACGCGTGAAGCACTCAATCGAGTAATCATACGCCAAAATGTCCTACATCATTGTGGAAAAGAGCTGATACTCTTACACTGCTGGACTGATATTAAGCAAACATAACTAAGAACCACCGCAAGGAAACTGACTTTCAAATGAAAAAAAAAACGCATCGAAATCGGTCCATCCTTTTGAGAGCTACGATGCCACAGACAGACATCGACGTCAAACTTATAACATCCCTCTTTTTGCGTCGGTGGTTAAAACATGGAAAACAACACTGACCAAGTGACACACTGCGATATGGGCGGCTCGTACAGATCGAGCTGCAGCAGCTGCACCAGCTTGTTGAAGTCTGCGGCGTGAAACGCCACCACGTCCTTGGTGATGCGCCCGCGGTCCGACTCGTCGTTGCAGTGGATAGCTTTCAGTACACCTACGAGATGAGAAATATAACAAAGATCTTAAAAATTATTTCTAGAAGAAATTTCTGATATAATCATTTCTTAGACCTAGGCGAACATTTGTAAAGTCCTATTTATATGCCCGATTTCACCAACGTCACCTAAGTTTAAGTGATCCCCTAAGCATGGTTAGGGGGCTGTTAGGGGACAGTTTCTGTTTCACCGACAGTTAGGGGTCATCTAAATGTTAAAAGGCCCCCTAAATTTAGGTGCTCGAAATATGGGCTTAAAGATGATGGTAAAACGAAATTTAATTTAGGGGCTAGTTTAGGGGAATTTTAAGCTAGGGATCCCATACGTAGGTGGTAGCTTCTGGGCTGTTGGTGAAATCGGGCAAAAGTCCATCTTAACAAAGTATGAAACTTAACTGAAAATCGGAGTTTCTAAATGAAAATAATTTTAACAGTTTATTAGGAAAATATCTAGTAGGTATTATACCATTTTGGAATCTTGACTAAATGCGCTAACTTTTAAAGCTACTTGCCATAATATCCATAGTACATTTTTTTCAGTACAAGCAGTTAAACTCAAGTGATGTGATATTTTGAGTTTTTGATTGGGGGGAAAAAGTGATAATTTTCTTTAGAACTAAGGCAATTGTGTATTTTTTAGACTCTGATTAACAGGACTATTCAAGGTAACATTATAAAAATTAAATTGAAGAAAAATAACAAATCATGGTCACAGTTCTTGAAAGATTGTCACAAGGTGGTAAATTACTCGTTTTTTTTCAAATACCCACAATTTTTTAAATACATGACTAAGATTTTTTTTATTATTTTTCTGAATATTGTCACTACTTGATCTATCACCCGACACCGGCTTGACGTTGACTTTTGGGACACCCAATATAAGGGCGCGCGTCTAGGGCAGCGGAAAAAATATTATTAAAATAATATAAGTAATAAATAAAATTAAAATAATATTTCGATAAGGTAGAAATATTTGAAACCGTCAGATTAAGATATGGTGGGCGAATTACATCCTGAAAAGTGTGCAAATAAATAATCTGCCGATTACCACAAGCTGAAGAGGCAGAAACGTACATAAACTTTATAGTCAATTTTTGCCTCTTCGCTTCGGGAGTAAATCCAAAAATCCCCTCTTGGGCTCCCCTACTATAAAGTGTAACATGTAGACTGTGTATAGTGTGTCGTACCGACGGCGGCGGTGGTGATGCGGTCGAGGCCGTGGCCCACGTGGTCGGCGTGCGCGCGCGTGCGGTCCTCGAACAGGAACTCGCGCGCCTCGCTCCAGCGCGGCAGGTACTGCAGGTTGCGCAGCTCGTTCATGCCCGTCCTGCGCCATACACACACACACATACATACAGAATGAGAGATATTGAACACGCTATCATACAAATGTGAGAGGATTAGAGAGAAAAACAAATATAGAGATAGAAACCACCTTCACAGTAATAGTATAGCTCATACATCAAAGTCGTCCTGAACCATAGAGAGACAGAGTAGACGACATTAGAAGGTTAGAGAGAGAGAGATAGAGCTTATAAATCAAAATAACACATTTCCTTTATAGCTATGGAAATGGTAATACATAATTGGACTAGCATGGAATAACGTGACATTAAACCACCGTAAATCACATGCTAAAAGGTTAGGAAAAGACATAGTGTTAGAGTTAGACAAAGAAAGATAGAAACCACTATCAATCACATGTGAGAGAGTTAAAGGGAGCGAGGGAGATTTCACCTTTGCTTAACTTATCATATAATACACATGCAAATACACAGAATCCTACTGACATACATATTATGTTTCTTATTCTTCCAAGCAAAAACTACTAAACGCATTTCAATGAAACTTTACAGTAATATAGATTATACATACATCAATGATGTGTTTTATATACCTTACTTGAAAAACGACTGATTCCCCATACAAACTTCCATTCCCTTTTTCACCCTCTTAAAAAATGATTTCCAGGATAAAAACCATCCTATGTCCTTGCCAGGGCTTCTAACTATCTGCATACCTCATCCAAATCGATCAACGGATTTTAGCTTATCCATTAAAAACAAAAATACATTTTTTTGTATAGGATATAACATACCTTCTCTTCTTTATGGGACTCTTGCCAAGCTCAGCGGTAGGCACAAGTTGCTCTCCGGGTCTGATCCATAGTATTGGACCGTCGTTGGACTCCTGTGGGTCCATTTCCACAGCGGACATTGGACCCCACGGCATTGTCTATAAATAATACATATTATATAAAACTTTCTTAGATTTATGCAAATATTTGACATTTTAAATAAAACTATCTTTTTGGGATTTTTTTCACGGATATATTTTGATTTTTGGTTCCAGACGTTTCGAATGCTGTTCAGCAATCATGGTCACGGAAGAGAATAAGGTTTTAGATGTTTCAAAGACATTATATACTTGTTACAGACAGCGGCTATACACAAAATTACAAAATGATTATTTTATTAAATTATCCACCAAATCCGCGAAAAATCCGTAAAAATTGTTTTATTTAAAAATATCATTTATATTTCGATGAATATTCTTATTAAGACACTATTTTCAAACACCTTCACTCTCACTAATCGTGCCGAAATATCTTTCCTATCAGTCTTTGAGATGAGAGTGTGTCTGCGCGAACACTTGTGCACTATAATATCTCCTGCGCAAATGACTAGTCTCAATGAGATATCTCTATATCTATCACATAAGAATTAAAACGACTTACCAAATTAAGAAATGGGCACTCGGAAAGCATAGACAGCATTTCGGGGAAGTACCCGCCCACTTCCTCGTGGACCGTGCCCACGAGGGAGATCTGGTGGAGTGGACCAGATCTGAATGTACCTGCTGCGTAGGTTTGTTGCACCTGAGAATCATATTTTATATATAATTATAATATAAGAATATAAAGATAGAAAGAACCTAGCAAAAAACCGCACTTGGCCAGTATATAGGTGTACTGTGGCCAAAAAACTAAGCGGGACTAAAACGATTTTTGTACCTTTTTTTTACTTAAAAATATAATACAATAATTCTACAAAATTGAAGCAGCCTAGAGGCAATCACATCACTCCCAAGGTGTGCCATCTCTACTGATTATATTCACTAAATCATATTATCTGCTAAAACATAATAGTGGTCTCAATACCAACTTAATTGCTGATAACAGCAACTAATACTAGTACCCTCGACATTAACTCACCCACTGATATATCGGTTAATAGCAGTTATGCCGTCATAAAAAAGAAGGCAACTTCTTCAAAGTTCATTAAGAGATATTTGAAGTTGTAATTAACAGTATACGTAGTTACGATGAAAATGGTTATGGTATCTCCGGATTCATAAGTCTTACAGCTTTATGGGTAAGACTATCAAATAACATTTTTTTTGCTGATTCCGAATTATTATTAAATCATTTTTGATCAAATTGTTAGTTAGGACCTTCTTTCTTATGACAGCACAATCTGTTAGTCTGTCTGTAGTATCGACAGCAATTCACCGGCTGGCACTTTTAATTTTTTTTTCTTTAGTTACCATGAAAATATCGTCCAAGATGACGAAATAAAAATTCTCGTAAAGTTTGAGCTCTCAATATTAATATTAAGAGGTGGCGCTCATCGTCATTTTTGATTTTCCATATAAATAAACGAACTCACCTGCTGGTAATAGCGACTGATGGTAGTGGTCTCGATATCGGAGGCGCGCGCGAGCACGCCCGCCTTGACGGCGAGCGCGGGGTGGCGCGCCGCCAGGTGGCGCAGCAGGCACGGCAGGCGCGCCGCCGCGCCGCGCACCACGCCGCACACGAAGTGCGCCCACCCGTCGCTGTCCTCCGAGAACACCACCTGCTCACGCAAAGTAAACGTTTAATATTCAAAAATTTGTGCGATTGAAGTAAAACTTCTTTGGAAAATTATTGAAAATTATTACGCATATTACAATCATATATTTATAGAACATCATTTAAGGAAAGAATATAATATTATATATTTGTCAGACGATAACAACGGTCACCATGGCAACATGCGTAAAGAAGTTTTACTCCAAACAGTAACGTAAGAAGTTATACTTCTCTATGTATGTCGCTTTCAGCTAACTTCATCATGTCGCTTTTTAGCTGTCGGTGTGCGCGCGCATCGTAAAAATTTTACTGTCATCATTTTTTCCAAACGTGCCAAAAAAAATATAACTTCAAAATAAACATTTAATATTTAAAAAACCGCCAACCCGCACTTCTCCAGCGTGGTGGATTATGGCCTAATCCCGATCGTTTTGAAGGGAGACCCGTACCCAGCTGTGGGACGTTACCAGTTGTAAACTACAACCTGTAGAGGAGTACCAACAAACTGACAGGGAAAAGCAAATATTGCCAGACTTGAAGCAGAGACGCTTCGCTCGCTAAATTATATACTTGCATATTTACTGTTATAAATTAGAAATTACCTTGAGAAATTCCTTTGCGAGTGCATCTTGTTGGGCCGGACCGAGCATATCCACATCGTGCTGGTACAGATACACGACACTAGCGCCGCCATTCGGATGTGTCTCTACCCGCATTAGTCTGTGGAGAGAAAGTAATAATCTATACATATAATAAAATTCTAACCTTGTCGAATCTGTACATTAAATATTTTTTGGAAAATCTCATTAAAATAGTGATTATTATCGATACAGAGGTGAATCTATAGTTTTTAGAATATTTTGTCTGTCTGTCTCTGACTGCATCTCGAGAAATCCACTGCATAGATTTTGATGAAATTTGATATAATGATAGCTGGTTATTTGGGTCATTTAGGATACATTTTACTGTGGAAAAATATCTCATCTCTGAGAAATCTAAACTAAACGTTAAAACGTAAGTAGGGACGAACCCGAGAAGAGCGAGGGTGTAATATCATATCATAATACCATTATTATTATTTATTACCTGACAATATTCTACTATAGCCTCACCTATGGTATTTAAGGCCCTTCAAGTCAATGGTGTGTGCCAAAGGTCCCCATACGGGGCCAGTCCGTTCCCTCCTGCACTGCACTCCTATGGAACATCTCTTGATTCGAGCCCTCCTCCTGCATTGTTGGCAAGAGTGACGGGATGAATGGGATCTAGAAATGAGATATAGATATGTGCTTAGTATGTGTATTACTATTATAAAAATAAAATGTGTGTGTGTAGATGTTTGTTACTCGTTTATGCTGAAATGACTGAACAAATTTGGATGAAATTTAGTATACAGATATACTACGACCTGGAGTAAGAAATAGGCTACTCTTAGGCACCTAAAGATGAATCTGAATTAACCAATGGGTCACATTTATTAAATTAAAAAATTTGGATGTGTGTAACCTTTACACGCAGTTGAAGTAAAACTTCTTTGGCAAATATTGCAATTAAATTGAAACATACTAGCAATACACTAAAAATGTACTTAATTTAATAATTTATGTGGATTGAATAAAGAAATTTTAAAATAAAAATAAAAAAATAATAAATTGAAACAAGTCAATAATTAAAAGTAAGGTATATTAGGCATAAATTTCAATCATATATTTATAGAATATCATATACTGAAAGAATATAATATTATATATTTGTCAGACAGTAACAACGGTTACCATGGCAACATGGCAATGTATTCTATTTCATTCTCTCGCTGGCTTAATCCTATAAAATATGTTTGTTTCTTTTTAGTGTCGCATTTTCGTTTCATCGTGTTTCAAATCACAACAATTCTGAAGAAGTTTCACTTCAAAAATCTAGTATGTAAAATGTTGTTTACACTATGTTATTAATATCATCAAAATGATTCAATGATAAAAAATTATGATGAATTACCGAATTTTTATTAATACATACATATGTTTTAATATTTTTGAGTGGAACCCTAATTCTTTTTCAAACTAAAAGTAGCCTAAGTTACTCCTTATAATGCTTTCTTAGATTTACCTGAACATTTGATATTTTAAATAAAACTATCTTTTTTATTTAGATTTTTAGTTCCCGTAATGTTTATGGATTTAGTAGGACCTTGGGATGTTATTGAGTTCACACACATTTTTGTGTTAATTAGTTGAAAAAAAAAGAACAAAAATCTATAAAAATAAAAGTAAACATGTAACTATTAAGAAACTCACCTATCCTTTTCCCTTTCTTTTTCTCTTTCCTTTTCCCTTTCTTTTTCTCTTTCCTTTTCCCTTTCTTTTTCTCTTTCTCTGTCCCTACTCTTCTCTTTCTCGCTTTCTATTTTAACTTCACGTTCAACTTTCACTTTGATGTCACTTTGCACTTTATCTTCACACTTAATACTTCTTATAGATGGATAATACTGAGTTGACGCATTTTCTTGTTTAAGTTTTAATGGCAACTCCAAATTTCCGTAACATGGTAACTCGCGACGAGGTGCCGTTTGGAATTTGATTGCTTTCACTGACAAACTTATGTGAGTTGAGAGACGTCTTGAGGTGGATGATTCTAGAAGAACATTTGCTCTCGTCACTTTTGGATACTTATATTTGGACATGTTCTTTTGAAGATGCCCATTTATTATGCGAAGTTGACGTGACACCGATGAATAAATACGTTTAGTTAGATCATCTTGGGGAATGGTGTTAGATAGTTGTGTTTGCTTCCAAGATGCGTTGATACCTCCAAACAAATCCAGGTTTAAATCACTGTCTCTGTTAAAAAGAAGTGGATTTTTTGCTGGTTCTGGTTTTTGAAGTATATGGAGAGAGAGGACTGTATCTCCGAATCCTCCAGAATCGAAGACCGGCCATATCTTGCTGTATTTAGCCGGTCGAGAGTTCTCTCCCCATACACATAGTTCTTTAGATTCACCGCTTAACTTGCGCTTTCTCCCTGTAACAGATGGAAATTGCATTTATTAAAATATATACATATGTTACCACATTAACACACAGCACCATCTAGTTCTATGGTAAGCTACAAGGCTTGTAGCATGGATACCAGATAGTTGATACACATACATAACTTTAAATAAATATCTATATTAATATTATAAAGAGGTAAATTTTGTGAGTTTGTGACGTTGTAAGGGGTAATCTCTAGATCTACTGAACCGATTTAGTTGAAATTTGGTAAGAAGATAGTTTGAGACCCTGGAAAGGACATAGGATATTTATAATCCCGGAAATCATCCCTTAAGGGTGTGAAAATGGGGATTTGTTTTAACAGTTAGTATTGATCTCAGAGATGATATATTTTCCTGCCGTAAAAAGTATCCTATATGTTGACCCGGATAGCCACCTATCATCATATCAAATTTCATCAAAATCTGTCCACTGTTCAGTGGTTTCTCGTGATACGTTCCCAAACAGACAGACAGATAAAAAATCTAAATACTATAGATTCGGCCTCTGTATTGATAGTAATGACAATTTCAATAAGATTTTCTAAAAAGTATTTAATGTAGAGATTCGATTCAATTAGAAATATATTATACTAGCAGAATCCGCGGCTTCGCTCGCGCTAAAACTATATATATATATATCTCTAAAAAGGGAGTTGCATATAAACTTTCATTATCCCTATTTTACCACCTTATAGGATGAATTTCGAAAAATGCTAAAACACGTATTTATTTAATTTCATTGAAGAGCATTAATACCAAGTTTCAAGTAATACTGATCATAAATATATTTTTTAATTGTATTATAACGTGTTTTTCCGTGGGAATTAGATAATCTCCCGCGGTAAAAAGTCTATGTCACTCTCCAGCCCTCCAACTATCTCCACATAAAAAATCACGCCAATCCGTCACTCCGTTTCGACGTGAAAGACAGACAAACAAACACACTTTTACATTTATAATATTAGTATGGATTATAGTGTAACAAGTCCTTACGTGTTTAACATTTGCAAACAACAATTAATAGCTTGAGATAGGGCAGTTACTTTAAATTGGCCGGTAGACACTAAGTGAAATGTATAAATTTAACATGGCTGGACCAGATCCCATGACACTATTAATTAATTAGTCAACCTGTGTTGTAAACATTAGTTAAAACAAGATTCATATATCAATAAATAATAAAATAATTAAATAATCACTGAGAGTGCTATATCGGATGTGATACGCCTGGCAATGGAATATTTTATACCATTTTCTGACGTATCACCCGATGGCAAGACACCCCCGTGGTACAACGCTGAGTGCGCTGCTGCAGAAGCCCGTAAGCAATCAGCGTTTGTAGCATGGGCAGATGCACGTGCTCTCAGTGCACCGGACGTAAAAACTAAAAAGAGGGAGTTCAATATTGCCACCAAGTCCTACAAGAGGGTTCTGGGAAAAGCTCGTTTCAGCCGAACTAACCGCATCGGGCGTAAGCTAGCCACTCACCCTAGTGGTAGTAAAGCTTTCTGGTCCCTCGCAAAGTCGATTGAAGCGAACTTCTGCCGTTCTTCGCTGCCGCCTCTGCAGAAATCTGATGGATCACTGGCTGTCTCTGCAACTGACAAGGCTAATCTTCTAGCGTCTCTATTTGCAGAAAACTCACGTCTCAATGCTGGAAACAAAATGCCACCTACTGTTCCAACATGCGACTCCTCTATGCCAGAGATACGCATACACCAGCAAGAGGTCCTAAAAACTCTTCGGAACCTCGACGTGAACAAAGCCAGTGGCCCTGATGGTATACCTGCAATTGTCTTGCGGAATTGCGCCCCTGAGTTGTCTCCCGTATTAACGCGTTTGTTTCGCCTCTCTCTTGCAACTGCTCAAGTCCCCAAGTCGTGGAAAGTTGCAAACGTGCAGCCAGTACCGAAAAAGGGGTGTCGTGCTGACCCGGCCAATTATAGACCAATTACGATCACGTCCATCCTTTGTAAAAGTATGGAACGTGTGGTCAATAACAAGCTCCTAGCATACCTAGAAGAAAATGATCTCCTGTCCGACCACCAGTACGGCTTTCGGAAAAACCGGTCTACTGGGGATCTTCTAGTGTATGCCACACATACTTGGGGTGAAGCCATTGAAAAACACGGTGAGGCACTCGCCGTGTCTCTTGATATTTCGAAGGCTTTTGACCGGGTCTGGCATGGCAGTCTTCTCAGCAAACTTCCGGCATATGGGATACCCACTGGCTTTTGTAGCTGGATATCTGATTTTCTGAGTGAGAGGTCATTTAGGGTGGTCGTTGACGGCTGCTCATCTGACCTAATGGCAACCCGGTATCTTTGGGTACGCTGATGACAGCACTGTTACGGATAGATACTTGTCCAGCTCTAGAGCCAGTGCTTCTGAGATACTTGAGCAAAGAAAGGCCTTGGTGAATCGCGTTGACTTAACTCTGAAGGAGGTGTCCGATTGGGGTGACGCCAATTTAGTTAAGTTTAACGCCACCAAAACACAAGCGTGTTTATTCACCGCAAAAAGGAGCCCCTTTACTTTGGCTCCCACTTTCCAAAATGTATCCATCCCGATAAGCGACCATATTGAGCTCTTGGGCATAGACATCTCGCCCAATCTCAATTTCGGGAAATGCATCGAGTCAAAGGCCAAAACAGCAGCAAAAAAACTTGGTATCCTGAACAAGGTGAAGCGGTACTTCACGCCTGAGCAGCGCCTGACTCTCTATCAGGCTCAAGTGCGCTCAGCTATGGAGTACTGCTGCCACCTCTGGGATGGCTCTGCCAAGTATCAACTCGATGCATTGGACTCGATAGATCGCCGAGCTCGCCGTATTATAGGTGATCAAACACTAACGCAGACGAAAATGCTTAGTCTCCAGCATCGACGCATTGTCGCCTGTCTATCGATCTTCTATCGGATATACTTTGGGGAGTGCGCGCAGGAACTTCACAACCTTGTGCCCCCTTCACCGTTTTACCACAGAACTGCGAGAAGTCGTGAGCACTGGCATCCTTATGTGGTAGAAATCCAACCAACTCGCACGAAACGCTTCAGTTCTACGTTTCTGAATCGAACTGCTAAGGAGTGGAACACCCTTCCAGCATCCGTGTTTCCTGAAAATTGTATAGCAAAACATTGGTATTGTTTTGTTTAAATTTTAATTAAAAAAAAAAATATTTTTTTATATATTAAGGAACAGCTTAACAACCTCGAACGTTTGCAGAATATGTGCATCAGATTTATATTTGGTTTACGTAAATTCAACCACATCTCCGAATACCGTATGCAATTAAAGTGGCTTCCGATTAGATTTAGGCGCAATTTGCACGTCATTTCCATCCTTTTCTCCATCCTTTATAGCCCAACTACTCCCTCTTACTTAAAGGAACGGTTTAATTTTCTAGGTTCGGACGTCTTAGGTTTGCAACTTAGGTCTCAGAGCGACAACCGTTTGATATTACCATCTTGCACCACAAATTACTATGGTAATTCTTTTACCGTAAAAGCTGCAAAGCTATGGAATATGATGTTTGCCATTCAAAGTCACTAAATATTTTTAAATGTCTTATAACTAATCTGTCTTGTTAGTTATTGAGTATATATGTATATACTATGTATTCATATGTATTTATGTATCTATATGTATGTATGTATGTATCTGTGTACGTATATATTATACATTTTTGTCTTATGTATGTATTCATGTTTGTAAACGTAGTTCATCATGTCTGTATTTAGTGTTAATTGTACCGTCCCGTCTACGATTCTTCTAATCCTTTCACCAAAGGTTGTCTGTAAGAGATTGCTCGTAGCAATAAGACCGCCTTTGCATGCCTCTTTGTTATTTATTTTTTATTTTTATCTTCTGTATCCTTCTTTTGTGTGTGCAATAAAGAATTTATCTATCTATCTATCTATTTTATCCTATGGACTAGCATTGCCCACGGCTCCGCCCGCGTTCAGATGACCAAAAACCAAATTCTTAGGTTTTACGTATTAGTATAATCCCATGTACATTGCAGTTTCTGTATTTTTCCTCAGAAATGAGATATTTTCCTGAGGTAAAAAGTATCCCTATATGTTGACACAGATAACCAGCTATCATCATACCAAATTTCATCAAAATCCTTTTAGTGGTTTTTCCGTGATGCGGTAACAGACAGACGGACAGATAGACAGACAAAAATTCTAAAAACATTCAGCCTCTGTATCAATAATAATGGCCAATCTTCTTTAAATATGTTGTCAAAAACAATTAGTATGTTAGTTTAAATTCAATAAGATTTTCCAAAAAGTATTTAATGTACAGATTTGGCTTGGGTAAAATTTTATTATATGTATAGATAACCAATCTTCTTTAAATATGTTGTCAAAAACAATTAGTATGTTAGTTTAAATATGGCTTTTTAATTTAAATAGTAAAGTTGTTTATTTTCTTGAATATTTTATTTATACGAAACATTAAATTATATTGTGCTAAGTCAATGTTAATTCAATTTTATAAATTTGTCTGAAATTTTATATCTAGTGTTATAAATTCATCTCATAATTCCATAAATATTATGAATGCAAAAGTTTAGATAAGTGTTTGTTACTCAATCATGCCAAAATTGCTGAACAGATACATGAAAACTTTATTTGGACCCTTATTGTAATATTGTAAAATTTTAGGTTGGTATTCCATATATTTTATGTCAAGAAGATCATAATTATAATGATAAATTTCTTCTATTTCTATAATATGTACTCATATATACTTGTATAAATAAATTAGCCTCACAAAAACTCAAAACGGCTGGACCGATTTGAATTATTCTTTTTTTTTTGTTGGGTGTGTCAGGGGTGGTATTAGTATAAAAAAAATAGGGAAAACCCAAAAAAAAAACAGCTGAAAAATCGTAAAGTTTCTAAATGTATTTTGTACCCATGTATATATAATATATAATTTATCTATTCCATACTAACCCTTAAAATGTATCTAAGGTTGAACTCAAACGAAGCGACAGTGAATCACTAGTAATGTTATATAAATTATGGAATAAGACAGTATACAGTTTATCAATAAGTTTTCTTTAGGTACCACTATGTATAATATTAAATAATACTATATTTTCGGACTATTTCATGGTTTTATTTTGATTTTTGGTTCCCAATGTTTCGAATGCTTTACAGCAATAAAAAAAATAAGGCATTCGAAACCTCTAGAATAAAAAATGAAAATAAATCCACAAAATAATCCAAAAATATAGTTTTATTTAAAATGTCCAATATTCGAGTAAATCTAAGAAAGTATTATAATATTAAATAAGACTTATATACTATAATAAATTTTAGTACATGTTTTGTTAATTTTAAGATAAAATTTTATTCATAAAAAATGTAGGTTGTAGTTACTGTATCCATTACTTTTAATGCTGATCAACTTAGCAAGAGCTTTTTATGAACTAATATAAACTAGTACACTTATCTTACTAATATTATAAATGTGAAAGTTTAGATGTTTGGATGGATGTTTTTTACTCAATTATGCCAGAGTGACTGAACACTTAAGAGATGAAATTTGACACAGAGATAGATTAGCCTGAAATAGCATAGGTTATAGCGTAGCATAGGCTACTTTTTATCCCAGAAAAATGTATGGTTCATGTGTGGTAGATTTGTCTTTTGTGTTTTACTACAGGTGAATCGAATTAAGCTATGTTGAGTTGCTAGCATTGTATAAATGCAAAGCCCCAATCAATATTACAAATTTAATTCATAGCATAAGAAAAAGTTACCACACAGAGATTATTCGTAAAATTAACTATATTTTCTATTTTACTTGCTCAAATAAATGAGAGAAGACATAGGACTGTAACCATATTATTGAATTCTTAAATTTAATTTGTAACCAAGCTAGCTGTAATAGGAAATATCTTGAAATAATCAGTAGAAAGTTGAATGCAGTCCTCAACAAGGTCAGCACTGATAAAACTACAAGAGCCCCATAGCAACAATAAGTGACTCTGGTGTAATGTCTAGCAATTTTTTGTAGCATCTTAGATCCTTTAAATGAAAGAAAATATAACAAATGTGCTTGAAATGTTTATAAACAGAAATGACCTCCATATCAATGATGTAACTTAAAATATGATAGGTTAATAGTTTTCCCCCCAAAACAATATGGGTAACGGATATTTTAACAGTATATGAAGTAGTAAGAGTAAGAAGAACTTTCACCGGCAATAAGAAATTAAAGTCTCCTTACCTTTGAAATCAGTAGATGATGCGTGTTTCAAATTAGTTGGCACACTTGGATCGTATCCCAATTTCGAAAGTTTTGGATGGTCATGACTCATTCGACGACGTTTGTTGGCCTCACCGGCGTCCGTTTCGCTAGGTGAAGTGCAGCAATCGTCCACGTTATCACGATTTTCACTAACTTTTACGTGGGATTCTATAGAATCATTCGACGCCATTGTTTTAGGGCAAAAGGTGAAACGTCGACTTAATAACCAGTAATCGTCAATGAAACATCGACGATACCAATGAAATTAATACTACTGACACGACAACATTCGAAATGCCACAGTAAGATTAGAAACACATTGATATCGAATAAAAAACAACTTGAGACGCCATTTACTTAGCTGCCTCGCACTTTTTTGTTGCTTTTTTTTGTGAATGTTTTGTTGCCTAGACATTTAGGGCAACGGTACGTTCGTATACAGCCACGTAATATGTTTAAAAGTGAACAAATAAAAATAGAATAAAACTTAAAAATATAGTGTTTGAGAATTATTTAAAATAGAACTTCAAAATTATATAATATTTAATTAATATTTTTAAGATTGGTAAGATAGTGCGAACACTACTACTGCCATCTAGTATAAATTATCCAAGTAAGAAAACGTCTTCTGTGTGGTAAAAGGCTTAAACTTTTAAAGCCAATAAATTTCTTTTATTTATGACAAGAGGGCGCATACAGTCATTTTAATTAATTTGTATTAATGTATAATAATGTAAACCGATTTTTGTTTTGTTTTAAAACATTCTCTTCAGCAATAGCACTTCTTACTTCAATGTTATTTAACCCAATCTATCCTATCTAGTCCATATCTGTTGTTTTAGAAATCCACTGACCCTTCAGACCCCTAGTACGAGTTTACAAATTACAAAAACGATGATAGTTTTGGTAAGCTCGATGAACTAGGTGTATAGTTTTCGATGTAATCGGTAGTACGAGTTAAAGTTTTCGAATATAGTTTAAGTTTACACGACGGCCACCATCGACTAACTCGATTGAACGAACTTCACTTTATTCGCTTCATCTCTTTTACACACCAGCAAATTAAAAGAGACGAATGTTGTCCTTCGATATTGTTTAAACTGACGTTTTGGATGAAGTAAGTTTTGAAACTTACTAAGATAATAAGTTTCAAACTTTACTTTAAACTTTTTATAATTATAAATTAATTTTGTTCACGATGATGAGAACCAGCCCGTCGCAATTTGAAGTGATGGTGAATTTTATGGAGAGGTACATAACAATCTTTTCTAAATATAGTCTACCAAGATGTTTTAGAGTTTGTTTTAATTACATAAATTTTTAGAAATGGTGACTTAAATAAGAGGACTGATGGTCCCAGTAGCAGGCTCAGGGCCAATGAAAAGTGACAAAGTGGCAAGAGCTCACTAATGCTCTCAACTTGGATACGAGATCCAGTTCGCATTGTGGTGAGGGCCATGGGCCGTGACCAACAGTGGGATGTTAAATGAGTTGAGTTATTATTATCCTTATAAAGCTTTTTACAGTGAAAATAATGTAAAGTTTTAACCGCCGAGTAACTTAGGTACCAATAAAAATTGAGAGTACTTTAGCAATTATCAATTCCGTGTGTTGGTAATCAAATAAGATCGATTTGACTTTTGCTAACCATAGGCATATATGATGCTAGTTATCCATACTTATAAATATAAATTTTAGGCTTACAATACCTATAAAATGTTTATTTTAAGTCATCGGCCATCTTCCGTTTCTCTAGGCTTTAACTAATTACCCCGAAATTTGTGTTCAACTTAACATGGTAGAAGGACTCAGTAGTCAGTAGCAATCGACCCAAAAGAAAGAACGCACTGAGAAGCGTTGGGTTGCTCCTGATACGTCTTCGATATATTATATATAAAGTGGACAGTAGGAGCAACTCCTTGGTTCTTGTGTAGGAAGGGACGACTTCTGCCTTGGTAGGCCAGCCATCGAGGCGTCGTGGTTGAGTGCGTAAGTGATCATGCAGCCCTCCATCAAGACAAGGAAGGTTCCGTTAGGTTTTAGTAAATAGTACAGGCGTTTCTAGCCGGTGGATCACTACATAATCATAACCGTCTTCTATGTAGGTGGTAAGCGTAAATGCATTATCCAACGTTAAAAAAAGGCTCTAACGGCCGGTACCGGTAATTTTGTTATTGGGAGTTCACTAAGCGTAAGCGAAGCTGCAATTTCTCATTGCACTGCGGCAATAGGGCAATAGTAGTCCAGTGGTATAGCGCTTGGGAAACCGAGTGAAGTGGGTTCAAGCCCCAGGTCTCGCATCTCTGAAATTTTCATATACGAATCATTTTCTACGTAATTACCACTTGTCTTTGTTTGAAGGAAAACTTACAGATTAGCACCTAGTAAGGCGGCCTGGGGCCTCAATCATTCTTCCGTCCAATTTTATTTGACGTTTGATGTTGGTAATTTAGAAACTATTGAATAAATAATTACAAAACATGATAAAACCTCAATTTATCATAACGTACTTATACTTTTTAGGCAAAAATTCATTTCAAATAAGTAAATAATAATTATTTTTTCGCCACTTATAATTAAATAGAAAGTTTCTTTTGAAAACTTTATATTATTTTAAGAATCGCCATTTTCAATGTTGGATAAAAATGGCGGGCACAGAACGTGCCAAATTAGTAAAACATAAATGTCATTAGCTATTTGCTTTGAAACAACGTGAGGGACGATTCGCAAATAAAAACCTACATATTAACACGTATGCCGTATACCGTAGGGTGGCTATGGAGTAAGATATTTATGAACCATGTCTTCATATCTTGAGATATTGAATCTATACTAATATTATAAAGAAGCAGAGTTTGTTTGTTTGTTTGTTTGTTTGTTTGTTTGTTTGTTGTTTGTTTGTTTGTTTGTTGTTTGTTTGTTTGAACGCGCTAATCTCAGGAACTATTAATCCTATTTGAAAAATTCTTTTTGCATAGGATAGTCTGATTATTGAGGAAGTCTATAGGCTATATCCCGTGGGATAGATATGTTTTTTGTCTAGGGACGAACCCTAAGCGAAGCGCGAGTGAGTCGCTAGTAGTTAAATGTTATGGAAAATATATTTTAATTTGATATAATAGAGAAGAAAACAGAAAAAAACCATTCTTTAATCATTTTTGGATACAAGACAAATATAAACGTTTGCTATTTGTTTCACTATTGAAATTATTTATTTATTTATGTACCACATAAAAAAACATAAAATAGAAAACAGATACCATGTGTACAAAGGATGACTTATCTCTTCAAGAGATATTTACCAAAAACCCTCGAGTGTGAGAAAAAAAATTATCAGGTGCGCGTAGGCACAACCTGTGTACGAGTAAGACATAAATATTTTTTTTATAATCGCTCAATTCGCTCAACTTGCCTTGACTCTTTTAAAATACTTCTTATATTCTGACCATAACAGAAAATACGCGTTAAGTATTTTTTCTAGCGTTCTAACTGATCCTTTACATCAGAAAAGATATTTTTAACCAAATTCGTTCAGCGATTATTCTCTAAAACTGTCTTCAATATCCATAATTTGTTGTCATCCTAATACATTCACACCAGCTTTTTTATGTATTAAATAATTTTGTATGCGTGTGCTAGGAAGGCGACGTTACGCATTTATTTAGACGAAATGACGATACTTGGAACAAGAATTATTTGATGACATTTATATTAAACTTTTTATTATACGAATGAAACTAGCGGCTCACCTTCGCTCGGACTCGTCCCTAGACGTAAGTTTTAACGATTAGTAAGGAATAGATAAGGAATAGATAAGGAATAGATAACTAAGTATATATTATATATACCTATACATATTACATAGGTAGGACGAGTTGTTGGGAATGAGACAATCTCGTATAATACGCTAATCCGTTACTCTGTCTCGAAACAAAGAAAAAAAGTAAGAACCAAACAAACAAACACACAAACGAACAGACAAACATGCAAGCAAATAAACAAAGAAACAAAAACAAACAAACACACTTTCAAATTTATAATATTACTATGGATGTCGTTACTGATTCTAAAATTTCTAATACGATTGTTACTCCAAAAAATATTAATAGGCAACTTCATATGTACACAAATCTATGTTATGAATTTTCATGTCTTATATATGGTGTAATGTAGTATAATGTGTTAAGCAAAATATTATTTAGCTCTTAACAATAAAGCGAAGGTTACGAATTCTATTTGTACATTAATATTTTTTATATAAGTTTAAAAAAAACAACCATATAAAAATCAGATGAGAAATTAATAAATACACAATTAAAAAAGGTACTATAATAAAAATGATTTAGTCTATGAAAAGTATGATAAAGAAATAAAGATGTAGAATTTTATACCTACTAGTTTTGAATAACTTATTGAACAGTATACTTAAAAAAATAATAATAATTAGTACCCATCGTCGAAAACCAAGTAGGAAGTGCGTCGCCACCTCAGTCTTGCCCACAGAGGATACAACGTGAATGCGAAAACATAGTATTATTAATTATTATGTACTAGCTGACCCGACATATATGTATATGTTACTTTGTCCTTTCAAGTTTATTTGTGATCTTTAAGTTCATACAAATAAAAATGTGTGTGTGTTTTTTGGCGTAACAGAACAAAAATAGCTAAAGATTTCATCCCGTCGGTATGTCACAACTCTCTGTTTGTAAAAGGAATGCAGCTAACTTCCTCATGTCCCTTTCAGCTAACTTCATCATGTCGCTTTTAGCTGACGGTGTGCGCGCATCGAAAAAATTTTACTCTCATATTTTTTTCCAAACGTCCCAAGAGAAGTATAACTTTAAAAATGTCATAGAAAAAACAATCAGTTTTTCTGTACTTACCAATTTTACAAGTAATTTTTCCAACTTTTTCCCGTAAAATCTTATTAGGAATGTTAGAAACTTTTAAAATAAAAATTAGCCAAATCAGCCGGATCCGCTTTTCAACAAACAGCATTTAATTGATGAAGTATGTGACATATACCGCATCCATACCTACAAACGTACAGATTGTAAACCTGTCATTGTAAAGTTCACTAGTATTATTTTGAAAGAAAAAAATATAGATTCGTACAAAAAGTACAACAAGGGAGCTTCGTACTTAACAACGGAGTGTATGAATATCCCGGGTACGAGCAAACGTATT